TGCGCCGTCCCTCCACCCTCCCAAGCATGATGTCCCTCTCCAAGGACTGGTCTCTCCTCACTACATGTCCGAAGTAAGTTAGACGGAGTAGCAGATATTTAATATTTTGAATGTAAGTTCTGATGCTATAAAATAGCGTATTTTGTGTTTTGTAGTCAGCTGCAAGACTCCGGGAAATAATAAATAAGAGACAACCTTCTGAATCCAAGAGGTAAAAGATTTCATTTATAAAGTTTGCCATGATAGATATTCTTAGTTCTTTTATAATTTGAAAAAATATGCTGTCATAGTAAACTAATTAAGAAAACAAACTGTAATTTAAAACTAATCTCCAGCATGTTTTAGGGGAAGATTATCTTTTAATAATTTTATAGTCTTCATCAAAATAATGGAGTAAATAGACTATTCAGAGCCTGATTTTATTTCTATTTATTCTTTTGCTTTTAAGCTGTTTCAAAAACGGAACAGTACATAGGTAGGGAACTGCCAGAAGTTCAAGCACGGTTTAGAAGAGGCCCTGGCACTAGGGATATCATTGCTGATGTTAGATGGAGCCTCACTGAAAGTAAGGAATACCAGAAGAATGCCTATTTGTGCTTTATTGACTATACAAAGGCATTTGTTTGTGTGGATCATAACAAGTTGTGGCTGACATTGAGAAGAATGGGAATCCCAGAGCACTTACTTGTGCTCCTGTGAAACCTATACCTGTTCAGGAAGCTCTTGTATGAAGAGAGCGAGGAAACACTGCATGGTTTAAAATTGAGAAGCGAGTGTGTCAAGGTTGTATTCTCTCTCCTTATCTTTTCAATCTGTATGCTGAGCAAATTACCTGAGAAGCTGGACTCATGTGAAGAGGAGTGTAGCATCAGGATTGGAGGGAGACTCATAATAATTTGCATTATGCATATTACACAACATTGCTTGCTGAACATGAGGAGGACTTGAAACACTTGTTAGAAGATCATGGAATACAGCCTTTGCTTGGATTGCATCTCAATGTCAAGAGAACAAAGATTCTTACCATTGGACCGGTAGGCAGGCAGCATCATGGTCGATGGAGAGGAGATTGAAACTATCAAAAGCTACATTTGCTTGGATCCACAATTTACACCCTTGGTACCTAACAGTAGTCTGAAAATAAGGAGATCCATTGCACTGGGAAAATCTGCAGTTAATGAATTCTCCAAATTATTGAGGAGTAATGATGTCAGTTTGAGGACTAAGTTGTGTTTGATTTAAGCCATGGTCTTTCTGATCACTTGGTATGCATCTGTGAGCTAGACAATGAATAAGGATGTCAGAAAAAGAATTGATGCCTTTGAGCTGTGGTGTTGGAGAACAGCACTGAATATTCCATGGACGTCCTAGAGAACAAAGAGATATGCCTTGGAGAGGATGCAGCCGGAGTGCTCTTTGGAGGCAAAAATGATGAGGCTTTGCCTCACATACTTTGGGCATATTGCTAGGAGGTGCTTATTCCTTGGAGAAGGATATGATGCTGGGAAGGGTAGACGGCAAAGGAGAGGAAGACCCTTAACCAGGTGGAGTGACATGGTGACTGCCACAGTGGGCTCTTGTGTGTCAGGGAATGGGAGGATGGAGCAGGGTTCAGATCTTTTGTTCATAGGGTCGCTATGAGTCGTACTCAACTTGATGGCACCTAACAACAACTTTTCTGCTAATGAAGAAAAATCTTTATTTCTACTAAGTTATTTTTTTGCCTATAGAACTATTATTCTTGAGATACTGCTACTTTTCCTTTTTCAATTTTATTTATAAAATAAAATAAGGAAATTAGGGGAGCTCTGGTGGCCTAGTGGCAAGGAGCTGCAACTACAATCCCAGAGGCGCACGGTTCGAATCCACCAGATGCTCTGCCGGGGAAGGAGGGACAATCTCCTCCTGTACCAGTCAGATCTGATTTGACGGTACACACACACACACACACACACACACACTAAAATAAGGAAATTAGCATTTATTGAACATCTGAAAAAATGCAGTGACCTATAAATTTTATTCAATATTACATCTGATAATAACTACATAGGTATGTAGTGCATTTATTTTGACTTAGAAAACAGACTCAAAGAAGTAATTTGCTTAAGATCAGAACAGCTTATTGATGATACCTTCTGAATTTGACCTCAAGCCTGTTAGATTCCTTAGCTTGAATTCTCTTATTACATTTGAACAGGTTATTGTTATGTGCCTTAGAATCAGAACTTACTTATAGCTGATACTTACGTGTAAATAAAGATGCTAAAATCCTTGATTTCATTAACTCATTTGATTGGTTTGATTCTACCACAAATCAAAGAATTATATTGAAAATAGCTAAACCTTTTATCATGATCAGATATTTATAAGTGTACAAGGAAGTACATATCATATATTTGGGTAGTAGTTGTTGTTATGTGCCCTCTCCTATGACCCATAGCGACCCTATGTACAGCAGCTCTGAACTCTTCCCTGTCCTGAGCCAATCTCACTAATTCCGACACATGAACCCCCATTGTCCCAGTTACTGTATCAGTCCATCTCATCCAGGGTCTTCTCCTGTACTGTCTCTCCACCCTTCCGAGCATGATATCCTCCAAGGACTGGTCTCTCCTGGCCACATGCCCAAAGTACGTGAGACAGCTTAAAAATCGTAGTCTCCAAGGAGAAACTTGGTTTCACCCTCCACAAGACAGACCTATTTGTTTTCTTGGCAGCCTGTGGTATGTTCAAACCTCTTCTTCAGCAGCACAACTTAAAGGCATCGATTCTTCTTCTGTCATCCATAGTCATTGTCCAGCTCTCTGAAGCATAACAAGTAATATCGTAGATCATGGCCTGGATTAGGCACATCTTAGTATCTAGACTGACATTGTTGCTTTTCAGTACTCTGGAGTAGTTGAAAGGGTATTTGTGTAAACATGAAAAGAATGGAAGCATATTTACTTTGTTGTGGACCTTGTATTTAAGGAGCTTTGATGGTATAGTATATTGCGTGTTGTGGTGCTAATCAAAAGGCCTATGTCTCCAGTGGTTCAAATCCACCAGCTGCTTAGAGTGAGATTTACAGGCATCACTTATTAAGACTTAAGTCTAGGAAGCCTGATGGAGAGTCACCACTAATAGTTAAAATCAACTTGATGTTAATGACTTTGGTGTTTAGTTTGCATCTTGTTTTTGCTGCTTTTAGAGTTCATATCAGCACATAAAAATCTACCTTATTTATTATGGTTGCATATTATTTTGTGTTGTATGTGTTTAACAATTTAATCTCCCATGCCCAGTATGACAATTTAAGTTGTTTCCAGACTTTATTAAAATCATTGTGGCTGTGTGTACATGTGCAAATGTGGGATATATTCCTAGAAGTTATTGCCTTACTGTTAGTAAATGCATTTAACTATTTTATAAGTTTTTTCCCTCTCCACCACTTTTAGGAAGAAGCCTAAGAAGAGAGAAAATGAGACTGGCTGTAGAAGGTCAATGCGATTATTAAGAGTAGATCCTTCAGGAGTTCCATTACCAGAAACGCCAACCCAGCCCACATTAGAAGCAGATGAAAATGTAAGAAAAAGTGAAAATGCAATATATCAATTTAAGAAAATGCTGAGAAGATTGATATGTTTGAAGCTATACTAAAAGTTCATTAAATTGTTTTGTAGTTTTCATAAAATAATTTCAGTAGTTTATAGTTGAAGTAAGAGCATTGATTACAAAGTTATAAAGACTTGGATGGATTTATATTTCTGCAGGATTCACATACTGTGAGATTATAGGTAATTATGAGATTAGCTTTATAAGCCGTTAGTTTTCCTACCTTTAAAATGATAACAATAAAAATTTCATAGAGCTGTTATTACGTATTGAGTGAAATAATAGCTATAAAATTCCTTATGTTGTGCAAAGGACTTAATAAAAAATGAGTTGTTATTATTACTTAATAAATAAATAAATATTGACCATTTGGTCTCAGAGGAACTTTGGTGGGCCTACTGGTAAGAACCTGTGCTGCAATCCCAAATGCACTAGGTTCGAATCTGGCAGCTGCTCTGTACAGGGCAAATTATTCAAGAAGCTGACCTCTGTGAAGAAGAGTGTGGCATCAGGATTGAAGGGAGACTCATCAGTAACCTGAATTATGCAGATGACACAACCTTGCTTGCTGAAAGTGAGGAGGACTTGAAGCACTTGTTACAGAAAATCAGGGTATCCAGCCTTCAGTTTAGATTGCATCTCGATGTCATGAAAACAAAGATTTTTACCACTGGACTTATAGGCAACATCATGGTGGATGGAGAAGAGATTGAAACTGCCAACAACTGTCTTACTTGGATCCACAGTTAACACCCTTGGTTCTAGCAGTCAGGAAATCAGAAGATGTATTACATTGGAAAAGTCTGCAGTTAGTCAAATTATTGAGGAGCAGTGATGTCAGTTTGAGGATTAAGGTGTGTCTGATTCAGGCCACAGTCTTACCAATCACTTGCTATGCATCTGAGAACCAGACAGTGAATAGGATTGATAGAAGAAGAATTGATGCCTTTGAGCTGTGGTGTTGGAGAACAGCACTGAACATCCCGTGGATGGCCAAGAGAACAAACAAATGGTGCAGTCACAGTGCTCTTTGGAGGCCACGACGAGGCTTTGCCTCATATACTTTGGGCATATTGATCAGAGGGGCTATACCTTGGAGAGGGACGTAATGCTTGGAAGAGTGGAGGGTTGGCAAAGAGGAGGAAGAACCCCAACTTGGTGGATTGACACAGTGAGTGCCACAATGGGTTCTAGTGTGTCAAGAAGTGTGAAGATGGCACAGGATAGGACGGAATTCAGGTCTACTTTCATAGGGTTTCTATGAGTTGTACTCGATGGCACCTAACAACAACAACAACATTAATATCAACAACATTTTGTTATTACTACTGTTGTTGCAGAATTGTATAATTGTAGCATTCACTGGAATTGTTTCTTTTTTTTGAAGTTCATTTTTTTCTTTTTTTTATGCAACAGTTCATGAATTTGCGTGTCATCCTTGTGCTGGGGCCATGCTATTCTTCTCTGTATTGTTCTAATTTTAGTATATGTCCTGCTGAAGTGAGCACTCTTTTGAACTTATTGTCATCTTTTGTTGTGTCATCTTTTACATTGGTCATGGTGTGCATCCATAACTCATATTTGGTATTATCTTTCCCATTATTAAAAATAAAAGTAGGCGAGCTGTGGTGGCCTAGTGGCAAGAAGCTGCACTGCAGTCTCAGAGGTACATGGTTCAAATCCACCAGATGCTCTGCTGGAGAAGGAGGAACAATCTCCTCCTGTATCAGTCAGATCCATTTTTATGATACACACAAAAAAATAATAATCTGATTTGATGGTACACACAAAAAATAATGAAATAAAAAAAAATTTAAAAAATAAAAGTAGAAAGTGATTACTCCTCCCTCCATCCCTTTCCATCCTGGTAATCATCAAAAATACGAATTTTTAAAAATTTATTTTTTATTAATATTTGTGTATGTTTGTACTGTCAAATCGGATCTGACTGGTACAGGAAGAGATTATCTCTCTGTCTCCAGCAGAGCATCTGGTGAATTCAAACCACACACCCTGGGATTGCAGTGCAGCTTCTTACCACTAGGCCACCAGACCTCGCCAAAAATACTAATGTTTTAATATTTTATTTCTAAGTATTTATATAGTACTCATTCAGCTGGTGCAGTGCTTTGGGAGAATTTAAAATTAAGGAACTGTGGAAAGCAGCAGAGATGAGTAGCTTTCACATTGTTTTGAAATGTTGGCTATGATAAGAAACACATGGTAAAATCTGTATAAGGCAGAACCTGCATAATGTGGAAGCCTTCCAGAGAAGGAAGTATTTATTTTCCTAAAATGAGCTATTGAAAAATGATAAGATAGCATTTTGTTAAAGACAGAAAGTTTGTGAACTCTGGCCTTCAAACATTGCACTCTACTTCCATTCCAACCCATTTGACATACACATAATTGAAGCAAAAGTCTTATTTTATATAATGCACTTTAATATTTTCTGCTCTCTTATTTCCATTTTCATGCAATAAATCAAATTGCAAAATAAGACATATTGAATGACCTATTAATGAGTTACTACCTGTGACATGGATGACTACCATTGAGCAGTGCCATTGTACTGATCAGATTCTAGGGCTTGCAGTTACTGGTAGTATTACTGAGGGTCAGTTAACTTCTCTGTCTCATTCTAGTGACTGTAAAAGGTGGCCTCTCCTTCACTAAGTTGCTGAGAAGGTGAAATGTGACTATTTATATATATTTTACATCTTTTATAAGATACTTAGTGCTCTCATTCATTGAATAGCTATGTTTGGATGCCCATGATGTACAAACCCTCTAGTTGATGTTGAAAATAAAGTTGTGAAAAACATGTTTTTCTTGAGCAGGCAGATATGCTATAAACTTTTTTGTTCATATTTTTATAATAGCCTTTGTTACCTCCTGGGCCGTTAGAAATGATTCCTGACAATCAAGATGCCAATGAAGTGTTTAAAGGATTTCTACAGACATGGTCAGAAATGAGCAAGGTATACCTTGAGAGGATTTACAGCTTTTTAAATTAGCTGCTTAGGGAAATTTGAATACATACATTAACTTGGCACTTTGGTCTTTCAGACAAGTAGGAACAATGCAGTGAAGGAATTATCTAGCCTTAAAAGGTAAGATATCAATTTCTTGTCTTTGTTTTGAATTTTCTGAAATCTTTATAAAGACTGTGCTTTGAGTTGTAAAAAAAAATTGTGAAGTGAAGAAATAACTCATTTTCCCCCAAATGGTTGTTTGTTTGTTTTTTTTTTTAGTTCCTTTTAAATGTTGTCATATGTAAGGACTATAGGATATAAGCTTCCTGTGGGTAGAGATTTTTATCTCATAACCAGCACTTACTGTAAGTGCTTACTTGCTGCTTAGTTGGAAGCATCTCATAGTTGATGCACCACTGCGTTTCCAAAGTAGAACAGTATGTGGTAGGAGAAGACCCCTCTTCCTGCTGTAGAGCTGCTGGTGGATTAAAATTGCTAGAGAAGCAAGGCTTTTGGATTAGTGCAGTTCCCCATATACTAGGCCACCAGAACTCGTAACCAGGACAGTGCTTTTATTGTATAGTGTGTTTTCACTAAATCCTGACTAAATGGAGGAATTCACACACATTTTTACTTGGTTGGATTCTAATATGTATGTGTGTGTGTGTGTGTGTGTGTATGATTTTGAATTACACTTTTTCATCATTTTTTACTTTGATGTGAGTGAAGATTTACAAAGCACATGAATTTATCATTCATAGACATTTTTGCCTTATATTAGTTATAGTACAGTGTAGTTGCACTTTTCTTCCTAAAATTCTGATTTCCATTAATTCTTTTATACCTCTTTGTGCCTTTGGTTTCTTTAGTGATACTGTGCTGGTCGTTGTCCCACTGTGTATTAGTTTTCTTTTCACTCATTTTAATATATGTCTTATTTATTTACTAATATTTACTCCCTTGTCCTTCCCTTCCTGTCCTTGATAACCATTCAAGAATGATTCTTAGTGTAAACCTTTTTGTAGTTTTTTTTATAGTAGTAGACTTGCATTATATTTGTCCTTTTGTGATTGACTTATTTTATTCAGCATAATGTCTTCTAGATGCATTCATATTATACAGGGGATTTTTTTTGTTAATTTTTATTGTTCTTGAGTGTTGCATAGTGTGAACATCTCAGTTTCTTAACCATTTGTACATTGAAGGACACTTGGGTTGTTTCCATCTCTTTGCTATTATAAATAAAAATTGCTGTGAACTTGAGCGTGTATATTATATCTGTTGCAGCTTTTATGTCTTTACCTACTAGTGTGATTGCTAGATTATTTTTGTTTCGAACTTTTTAGGAAAGCACCAACTGATTTTCATGGTTGTACCATTTTCAGTTCTACCAATAGGGTTAAATTATATTTTTTTTCATTTAGCATTGTCGTTGCATGCCACTATAATCTTTAAAATTATTGAATGAAAAATCCATTGACGGGGAAGGGAGGTTGGGCAGGGAGAAAAGTGCAACGATGAATGAATGGATATCCAAAGTCTCTGTAAACTTTCATTAAAATGAAAAAAATAAAAGTGAAAAAAATAATCCATTGACTAAACACACCACATTTTACCTAATCTCCATCTATCCCTTTGATAATTGGGGTTATTTTCTGTTTAGCATGTGTGTAAGTATAACAGACAATGTGTTAATTCTTTCTGATCAATGGCTGGAAATGGGAATAAACTCATTGCTGTCAAGTTGGAATCGACTCAGAGCTGACCCTGCAGTGCATTTTTAGAGGCAATAAGCTGCATGGGAGCAAATTATACATCTTTATTCTTCAAAGCAGCTTATGGATTTGAGCCTGTGGGTTGGCAGTGCAAATTCTTGCCCACTAGGCCACCAGAACTCCTCTGAAATAGATGTAGTGAGTCAAATATTATTTGTGACTTTTGTACATAATGCTAAATTGTTTTCCCTAATTTTCTTCTCCTGTAAACTTTTTATGACCTTTCTCTGTCACTAGCAACATATCTGAGTATCTGCTTAACTGAAACCTGCTTGCTCTAGGTGTAATCATTAGGCTATCAGGGTTAAGGGGAAATAGAACTTCATTGTTTGTTTTCCCTGGTTATCAGGAGGTTGAATATTTTTCCACAATTAGTTACTGGTTGTGATTCTACTCTTTTGAATTGTCTTTTACTTATTTTTGACTGTTGCTATTTGTTTTACTTTAAAATTTTTTTCTTCAGCTATAAAAACAACTTATGTGGTATGGTGATTAGTCAAGATACTGTTTGTAAAGTTACCAGTGGCTCAGTATTTTCTATAGCTCTCCATCCATCAGAAACTAGAACTTTGGTGGCAGCTGGAGCCAAATCTGGGCAAATTGGATTTTGGGATTTGGTAAGTTATACATTTTTAAAAGATACTGAGATCTGAAGCAAATATAAAATAGTCTAAAGTCATGTGTTTATAGGTATTGCTTGAGATTTATAGTCTTATTTTCTCTGATTCTAAATTTTAGAAATAAGGAATTTAAATTTATTTTAGAGCTTTCAAAATACTTAGCTTGCATATTATTAGCCATCTGGGCATAAATTTACTGCCAGAAAACTTTATTACAACTTTAAATGTATAAGTAAAAAGGTCATACAAGTTCTCGTTTTCCTAGTTATGTTTAAAATATGGTCTCCAAGCTGGCTCAAAATACTTTTCCAGGAACCTGCTTAGGATGAACATAGTCATCTTTTGATAATTCATAAAAATATATATATAATACCATTCATGTGCATATAATTCAGAAAATCCAAGCCAACTGTCTCTGTGTGGATTCTAACTTGTGACCCTCACAGGCCCATTACGGTTTCCAAAGCCATAAATCCTCACAGAAGCACAATTGTTGGTTTTTGCCTGTAATCCAGTGATTAATCCACAATACCACCATAACTCCTATTTTATGCATATACTTTTCATTAAATTCTTTTTAACAGAATTGAGAAAAACTAAGTTAATTCTCTTCAAATTTATTTTTTAATTGGGGCAGTAGAATAAAACTATGGAAAATGCCATGGATCATTAATAGAGATTAAAAAAAATGCTGTTCAGTTGATGCTAGCTAGGGTTGATAAAGTGAGAAGCAGAGAGACAGACCAGACATTGGGCAGCATAGGTTCCCCCTTACTCTGACAAGTTGTGATGCAGTGGGGGGTATGAGATAAAAGGATTTTGGGGAGGGGGAAGCAGAGAAGAGGGAAGAATACAGAATAGTGGGAATCCATAGAAGCCAAGAGACAAGAGTTTCAAGAAGGGACGTTGCCAGGACCTCAAGGAATAGTGCATGTTAGTTTAGCTGAAACCAACTATCTGTCACCTTCTTCTGCTTCTGTCTTTCTTCTGGCTGCAGATGAATGCCTAAAACTTTATTCTTAGGCTAAAGCTCTAAGCTAAAAATGAATTAGATACTATGAGGAAGAGCCCAGATGTTACATTAGAGCAATAAGTATGGGAGAACCATTTAACATGTTGTTGCGGGAGAATCATTTAAACTTGATGAAAATGAGAAATGACCTGACACTTGATCAACCACTACATTAATAAAAAATCTATCATGCGAAAGGTAAATAAGAAGGAAACTGTAAGGGCCCTCTGGTGGCCTAGTGGCAAGAAGCTGCACTGTAATCCCAGAGGTATGTGGTTCGAATCCACCAGATGCTTTGCTGGAGGAGGGACAATCTCCTCCTGTACCAGTCGGATCTGATTTGATGGTACACACACACAGAAATAATACTAAAAAAAAAAAAAGGATAACTAATTCAGGAGAAGGAAGAAATTCTTAACACTTGCTTTAGACCATTATTCTCTACTGTTCAGCATCCAAAACAAAACAAGTGAAACCACCATCAAACAAAATAACCTGCGCTATTGAGTCCATTCTGATTTGTAGCAGCCCTACAGGAAAAAGTAGAGCTGTAAATCTTTGCAGAAGCAGACCACCACACCTTTCTCCCAAGTAGTGATTGGAATGTTTGAACTGCTTAGCCTTGCAGTTAATAGTGGAGTGCTTTAACTATCATACCACCAGGGCTTCTTCACTGTTCAGTGTAGTTCCTGCTATTCATATGAAGCTATGAAAATGAACTAAAATGAAAAATTTAGTTCTTCAGTTACATTAGTCTCATTTTAAGTGCTTAGCTAGTAGTTACCATAATGAACAGTCCATATGTAACACATTTTTTTCAGAGTTCTTTTGGCTAGCTTTGCTGTGGAGCAAGTTAATAGAAGCATTAATTTGGTAAATAATGAAATAAAAAAAGACTGAGACGGAAAAAGGAGATTGTAGTATGTAGGGGAAAAGCTCTTAGCATTAATAAATAAATTCAACATTAACAAGGGACAGAATATACAATTGGAAATTGGAATATGAACATAAGAAGTATTTGAGGTAATCTCAAATGTATATAAATAAGAAGCCATTTGGAAAGAAAAGATGGGCAAAGATGATCCAACAGTTGAAACAGAAATTACCTCCAAAGAGAATTTTCTGAAATGAAGACAACGGAATTTGGAAACTCAAGATGATTGTAGTGTGTCTCAGAAAAATGTGGAATAAATCTCTGGACAGAAAACTCAAATTAAGTATTAGGTTGTTTTTGTTGTTTTATGTACCTGTGAATCACCTGTGACTCATAGTGACCCTGTGTACAACAGCCCTAAACCCTGCTTTCTCCTGTGCCAACCGCATTGTCTCTGATATATCTATCTCCATTACCCCAGTCACTGAATCAGTCCTTCTCATCGAAGGCCTTCCATTCCTGCACTGTCCCTCCATCCTCCCAAGCATGATGTCCCTCTCCAAGGACTGGTCCCTCCTTGCAACATGTCCAAAGTATGTCAGATGAAGCTTCAGAATTCTTGCCTTCAAGGAGCAGCCTGGCTTCACCCTCTTCAGAATGAACTTGCTTGTTCTTCTAGCAGTCCATGGTATATTCAATACTTTTCTCCAACACCACAGCTCAAAGGCATCAATTCTCTTTCTGTCATCCCTTGTCATTGTCCAGCTCTCTGATGCATACCAACTAATTGCAAAGACCATGGCCTATATCAGGCACATCTTAGTCTCCAGACTGATCATTGCTCTTCAGTACTTTGGAGAGGTCTCTGACAGCAGACTTTCTCAATGCAATACATCTTTTAATATGCTGGCTGCTGATGCCAAGAGTGTTGATTGTGGAGCCAAAAACTAAAACTGTTTGCAATCGCAATCTCTTCACCATCCATCATGCTGCCAGTTGGCCCAGTGGTGAGAATCTTTGTTTTCTTGATGTTGAGGTTCAATCAATATCGAAGGCTGCAGTCCTTGACCCTCTACAGCAAGTGCTTCAGGTCCTCCTCAGTTTCATCAGGCAAGGTTATGTCATCTGCATAATGCAGGTTGTTAATAAGTCTTCCTCCAATCCTGATGCCACATTTCTCCTCATAGAGCCCAGCCTCCTGGATCATCTGTTCTGCGTACAGATTGAAAAGATATAGAGATAGGATACACCCCTGACATACACCCTTCCCAATTTTTAACCATACAGTTCTCTTACTCTGTTCTGACAACTGCCTCCTGGTCCAAGTATAGGTTTCGCACAAGCACAAACAAGTGTTCTGGGATTCCCGTTCTTCTCAGAGTCAGCCACAGTTTGTTGTGGTCCACACAGCCAAACGCCTTTGCACAGTCAGTGAAACACAGACACTCTGGTACTCCCTGCTTTCAACCAAGATACAGAAAAGCCATACCTACCTCATTTTTTTCCTCCAGAAAAACAATTTAGTATAATATATACAAGATTCTGAAGGAAAAGAAGTGTGGTCTTAGAATATTTACCTGGCCTAAGATATTCTTTGGGATTATAGTTAGTATAGCTTCTTACCACTAGGCCACCAGTAGCTCTGGCTGGGATATTCTTTGGAAGCAGGAGTGGCATCCACTTCCTAAACAACATGCCTTTGGAAACTATGAACTTTGATAAATGACGATAGTTATAGAAAGGCTTCAGGCCTTTTGTTCATAAGGTTGCTATCATTTGTGCTCCACTTGACAGCAGTCAACAAGATATTCTAGTATAAAGGGCACCAGGTAGGTAGATATGAAAAAACTTAAGAAATTCAGAACTCATGAGTACTTCTTGGAAAAAACTGCTCAACAGCAAATAACAGTCAATTTAAAATGAGTCAAAATTAAGCATTCAAGAATGGAGAAGCTTGTTGAAAGAATTGTTGATAATTCCTAAATTCATTTAAACTAATCCTAAGACAACCTTGAGGATTTTAATTACAGAACTGAGTATGAATATTACCAATTTGGACAAAATAAAAAAGAATATATATATAACAAAATATGGAGATTGAAAAAGGAGAGATGAGCAGAATGATAAGAACAGTCTTCATCAGTCATCCATGAATAAAGTAGGAAAGCAAAACAAAACACAATGACTGTAGTAATTTTGCTGATTTATCTTTTTATTCTTTTTCCTTATTAGGTGATAGTAGTTTTTGTGAACAAATTCTTAGTTCAGAAATTGCATATAAAAAAAAGAAAGTCATCCAAAAAAAAAGAAATTGCATATAATTTTATTTTGAAGTATAGTTAAATTTAATATGGTTTAGAATGGCATATATGTATGTGTGTCTATATATGTATAGTTGTTATATGCCTTGAGTTGACTACAGCTCATAGCAACCCAATAAACAAATGTCTCTGAACCTTGGCCTATCCTGAGCTGACACACCTGACCCCATTGCCACAGTAGTTGTGTCAGTCTATCTCATCCAAGGTTTTCCTTTCCTTTGCTGACCCTCTACTCTTCCAAGCATGATGTCCCTCTCCAAGGACTGGCCCCTCCTGACAACATGCCCAAAGTATATGAGACGGAATTTCAAAATCTTTGCCTCCAAGGAGCAACTTGGTTTAACCCTCTTCCGGATAGACTTGTTTGTTCTCTTGGCAGTCCATGGTATGTATGTTCAGTAGTATTCTCCAGCACCAAAACACAAAGGCATTGGTTCTTCTATATTCTTATCATTGCCCAACTCTCAGCAAGCAGTTGTGATGACCATCGTTTGGTTCAGGTGCACCTTAGTTTCTAGACTGACATCATTGCTCTTTAGCAGTCTGGAGGGCGCTCTGACAGCAGATTTTCCCAGTATAACCTGTATTTTGATTTCCTGACTGCTAATGCCCTAGATGTTAGTTGGAATCATCAGTCTTTTCTCCATTTATCATGTTGATGCCTATTAGCCCAGTAGTGAAGATTTTTGTTTTCTTAATGTTGAGATGAAATCTATATTGAAGATTGCCCTTCATTGATCTTTCAAATGCTTCAAGTCTTCCTAACATGATCTTATTTTTTCTCAGTCTGTTACTCTGTCTATATAGACAGATCTTGAGGTCTTGCAATGACCACCAAGTAGTTCAATGATAATTTCAGATTTGGAGTGATTTTTTTTTTTAATTTTCATTTTGATACATTATTCATTGTTTAAGTCAGGGACCTCTCCAAAGTGTTAAAGATCAATGATGTCTGTTTAAAGACTTAGGTACATATAACCCCAGCCATGGTCACTGAAAGTTGTACCATGAATAAGGACAACAGAAAAAGAATCTGTACATTTTAATTGTGGTGTCGGAGAAGAGTAGTGAATATCCCACAGATTGTCAGAAAAAAACAAGTCATTGAGAAAATACAACCAGGTTTTCCGTGGAGGTAAGGATATTTCAACTTTGTCTCATATTATGTCATATTGTTAGGAAGGGCCATTCCTTGGAAAAATACATCATATTTGGAAAGGTAGTGAGTCAGCAAAAGAGAGGGAGACATTCAACAAGATGGCTTGACATGGTCACTGTAACAATGGGCTTGAGAGTGTTGGAGGTGATGGAGATGGTACAGATTAGGGCATGATTCAGATTTGTTTTGCCAACTCTGAGCTAGAGTTGACTCGATAGCACTTAGCAACAATGAGTAGTATTGTTTAAATTCTTTATAATAGAAGGCTGATTTGATTCTCTTAAACATAAGCTCTATAAGCAAATACCCTAAGATATAATAGTGGCTAACCCTGGGTCCAGGAGGAATGTGTATAGTTACATTTTTTTTCTTTCATTTTCTTCTCTCTCTCTTTTTAAAGTATTTCTCTTCAAAATAATTTTTTTTTAATATACAAAGAAACATACTTAGAGGTAATAATAGTTGCTCTAATTTATAGTATGACATGAAGATAGAACTTGTCCAACCTGAAAAATGACTTCCTAGGAATTAGTAATCCAGTTGTGCAAAGGACAATCATTATAAACTGTGACTTTTCATTGAAATAATTGAATAAAAAGTCATATTTTGAAGGTGTGTTTGTTGTTATGTGCTGTTGAGTTGCCTGTGACCCATAGCTACCTGATGTATAGCAGCTCTGAACCTATCCTGAGCCAGTCCCACTGACTCTGACATACCTACCCTCATTTCCCTAGTTAGTTATCAGTCTCTGTCATCTGGTGTCTTCCTCTTCTTTGCTGTCCCTCCACCCTTCCACACATGACTGGTCTTTCCTGGTCACATGCTCAAAAATGTGTAAGACAGAGCTTCAAAATTGTACTCGGTCTCTTGGACTATAACTGTACCCTCTCTCCCATACAAAAAGTCAGACCTGGAAACTTGTCCTCACTTATTTTTCTTTAATGTTCAATAACATGCTTTTATATTGAACAGTTTCTAGATTTTGTGGGTTTGTTTTTTTTATTATTTTACTATTTTTGTGAGTGTACCATCAAATCAGATCTGACTGGTGCAGGAGGAGATTGTCCCTCCTTCCCTGGCAGAGCATCTGGTGGATTCGAACCGTGCACCTCTGGGATTGTAGTTGCAGCTCCTTACCACTAGGCCACCAGAGCTCCCCTAGTTTCTAGTTTTTTGAAACTAGCCTATAAATTGGTTTGTTTACATTTTTTAATAACTAAGAAAAAAATTAAGGTTCATTTGGAATTGAGTTCATGAAATTCTTTAGAAATGAGAAATATATTCTTCATTTCACACAATAACTTCTTACTAAAAAGCAGTATCATTGATATTAATATTTTGCATCTGTTTAATAATAATATGGTTATCAGCATAATTTTCATAAGGCAGTCATTTTAAAAATGGATCTTCTAAACACACCTTAATTGTGCTTTTGCGAAACCTATACTTGGATCAGGAAGCAGTCCTCAAAACAGCAAAGAATCAAAAAGAACAACAACAAACCAGAGCAAAGAATCACTGCATGGTTCAAAATCAGTAAAGGAATGCATCAGGGATGTATTCTGTCTCCATACCTTTTCAACTATATGTGGAATAGATAATTTTTTTTTCTCTTGGTTATTTAAAAAAACCCAAACAAAGCAATTCGAGGTCTGACTTTCTGTATGGGAAAGAGGATGCAGTTATAATCCAAGAAGAGATTGGGTACAATCCAGACATAATTGGTTTAATGACATAATAATACTTTTCACTAATTTATGTCTTCCTTCCTCAAATCTCTTCCAGACCCAGCATCCTAAAGAAGATGGAGTTTATATTTTTCGTCCCCACAGTCAGCCAGTTAGCTGTCTTTACTTTTCACCCACCAATCCAGCCCACATCCTGTCATTGAGCTATGATGGCACATTACGTTGTGGAGATTTTTCCAGAGCTATTTTTGAAGAGGTAACTGTTAAGGTGTTTATGTGCTGACTTCAAGTGATACCTTGGATTCTTAAAAAATTTTTTTAATTTCATTTTTCAGTTTGAGTGAAAGTTTATAATAAGTAATTGGTTTTCCAGTCTAGCATTTGTACGTTTTGTTTTATAACACTAAAAATAATTAATTACTGAAATTAGTGAATTATAATGTATAATCAACTTATTTATATTGCCTTTTCTTTCACTGAATTTATTTATACATTTTTATTAAAAAATAATTTCCCCTACTTTCCTTCATTGATATTATGTTTCATACAATCATTTCCAACATTGTGTTTCAGCTTTTGTTTTTAAATTTTTATTTTATATTTGTTTGCTTATAATATTCATTAATTTTTAATACCCTCTCCTTTCCCATCCCTATTAACCATCCAAGAATGATTCTGTGTATAAAATTGTGCTTAGCATTTTGTAATAGTAACTTTATATTGTAATAGTTCTTCTGTGACTGATTTATCACTCAGCAAAGTGTGTTCCAGATTCATCTATGTTGTACAGTATTGATTGATTTTTAGTCATGTATAAAACTCCATTGCATGAATATACTTCAGTTTCTTTAGCTACTCATCCATTGATGGACACTTGGATTGCTTCCAACTCTTGGCTCTTGTAAATATTGCTCGAGTAAACATAGGTGTGCATATGTCAGTTTGTTTTGCAGCTTTTACTTTGAGATATGTACTTAGCAGTAGGCTTACTGTATTAAATTTTATTTCTGTTTCCAGCTTTCTAAGGAAATGCTGAACTATTTTCCATAGTGACTGCACCATTTTTTATTCCCACCAGCAGTGTATGTATCTCTCCACCTCAGCTCTCCACCTTGTTACTTGCTGTCATTTGTTGTTGTTGTTAATTTTGCTGTCTTATTGAACACTGCAGTTTTTGCCAGGGTGTGAATCATAGTTCATTGTTTTGATTTGTGTCTATTAATTAATTTTGAATATTTCTTTATGTGTGTGTTGGCCATCTTCCCATTTTATTATTTGATATATTTTTCTTTTCCTTGTGAGGTGTTGGAGTTTTCTATAAATTTTAGAGATGAATTCTTTGCCAGATGCATCATTGCCAGATTTCCCCCCCTCTGTCTGTAGGTTTCCCCTTTACCTTTGAGAAGTCTTTATTTAATTTTTAGGAAGTTCTAGCATTCTAATTTTTCTTCTGTTGATTGTTCATTTTTTCTTATGTTTGCTGTTAAGGCATAAATTATTGTGTTGTTGGGTACGATTGAGTCAGATTGTTGTAGTGTACCATCAAGTTAGAACAGATCTTCCCGCAGGTTTTCAGAGGCAGTAAATTTCACAGGAGGAGATTGCCCATCTTTCTTCCATGGAGCAGCTGGTGGATTTGGACTGCATATCTATGCTTTTGCATTACCATTCCTTACCACAGAATGTGGCATTAGGATTGGAGGAATACTTATCAATAACCTGTAGATGATAGTGCTGTAGATGACAGCATTGTTTGCTGAACGTGAAGAAACCCTTGAAACCCTTGCTGAGAAGATCAAGAACTACAGTCTGTGGTGTGAATTAAATCTCATCATCAAGAAAACAAAGGTCTTCACCACCAGACCAACAGACACATTTATAATAGATGGAGAAAGGATTGAAGCTGTCAATGATTTAATTTCGCTTGGATCAATAATCAATACCCTTGGCAGCACATATTGCCCTAAACAAGTCCACACTGTCAGTGACCTCTCTGAAATGTTGCTGGCCTTATGTATCTTTGAGTCAACTGCATAGCAACCCTTTGTGTGAATGACTCTGAACCTTACCCTATCTAGAGCCAGCCTCACCGTCTCTCATACACTTGACCACACTACCACAGTCATTGTGTCAGTCATCTTCTCTAGGGTCTTCCTCTCCTGCAGTGACACTCTATTGTTCCAACATGTCCTTCTCCAAGGACTGGTTACTTGCTCTAAGTAACATGCTGAAAGTATGTCAGATGGAGCTTCAAAATCCTTAACTCTAAGGAGCAACCTGATTTCATTCATTCCAGGACAGACTTGTTCTTCTGGCAGTCCATGGTATGTTCAGTACTCTTTTCTAGCACCACAGTGCAAAGTCATCGATGATTATTCTGTCATCCTTATGCTTTGTCCAGTTCTCAGATGCAATAGTAAGCAAATGAGAAGACGATAGCTAAAATTAGGGTTTCACTAATATCACATACAATCAAAATCTTTCTGAAGATTATCCAAAAACTGACTAGAATAGTACATCAACTGAGAACATCTAGAAATAAAAAGCCGGATTTAGAAGAGGTTATGTTGTTGTTGTTGTGCCGTCGAGTCGCTTGTGACTCATAGTGACCCTATGTACAACAGCCCTAAACTCTGCTCTATCCTGTGCCAATCACACTTCCTCTGACACACCCATCCCAATTACCCCAGTCACTTAATCAATCCACTTCATAGAGGGTCTTCGCCTCCTATGCCATCCCTCCACCCTCCCAAGCATGATGTCTGTCTTCTGGCAGTAGGAATATCATTGTCTGAAAATGGAGAGTATGGGAAGGTTATCTATTTGTGCTTTATAAACTATACAAAGGCATTTTACTGTGTGGATAACAACAAATTCTAACATTGAGAAGAATGGGAATCTCAGAACACTTGACTGTGTTCATGAGAAACCCTAGACCAGAAAGCTAAATATCCAGACAGAGCAAGGGAACATTGTATGGTTCAAAATTAAGAAAAGAGTATGTCAGGGATATATCTTTTCTCTGTACCTTTTCAATCTATATGCTGAATGGATCATACATGGGTCTGGAGTTTAGGAAGAAGAATGTGGAATCAGGATTGGAGGAAGACTCATCAACAACCCGTCTTATGCAGATGACAACCTTGCTTACTAAGACTGAGGAGGATTTGAAGTGTTTGCTTCAGAAGGTCAAGGACTATAGACTTCAATATGGATTGCATCTCAATATCAAGAAAACCAAGCTCCTCACCATTGGGCCAATAGGCAGTATCATGGTAGATAGGGAAAAGATTGAGATAGTTAATAATTTCATCTTGATCCATTGTTGTTGTTGTTATGTACCATCGAGTCGTTTGTGACTCATAGCGACCCTATGTACAACAGCCCTAAACCGTGCTTTATCCCGTGCCAATCTCATTGCCTCTGACACACCCATCCTGATTACCCCAGTCACTGAATCAATCCACCTCATAGAGGGTCTTCCCCTTCTGCGCTGTCCCTCTACTCTACCCAGCATGATGTCCCTCTCTAAAGACCTGTCTCTCCTTACAACATGTCCAAAGTATGTCAGGCGAAGCCCCAGAATCCTTGCCTCCAAGGAGTAGCCTGGTTTAACCCTCTCTAGGATGAATCTGTTTGTTTTCTTGGCAGTCCATGGTACATTCAGTACTCTTCTCCAGCACCACAGCTCAAAGGCGTCTCCTTCTATCCTCCCTAGTCATTGTCCAACTCTCTGATGCATAACAAGTGATTGCCAAAACCATGGCCTGTATCAGGTGCACCTTAGTCTCCAGAGAGACACCGTTGCTCTTGAGTACTTTAGAGAGGTCCCTAACCGCAGACTTTCCCATCGCAATACGTTTTTTTATTTCCTGGCTACTGGGGCCAAGAGTGTTGACCGTGGAGCCGAGCAAACTGAAGCTGTGAACACTCTCAATCTCTTCGCCATCCATCCTGATGCTACCGATTGGTCCGGTGGTGAGAATTTTTGTCTTCTTGACGTTGAGCCTCAGTTCATACTGAAGGCTGCAGTCCTTGACCCTCTGCAGTAAGTGCATGAGGTCCTCCTCAGTTTCAGCAAGCAAAGTTGTGTCATCTGCATAACGCAGATTGTTGATAGATCGTCCACCAATCCTAACACCACGCTTCTCATAGAGCCCAGCCTCTCGGATAATCTGCTCTGCATACAGGTTGAAAAGGTATGGAGACAGGATGCATCCCTGGCATACACCCTTCCCAATTTTGAACCATGCAGTGTTGCCCTGCTCTGTTCTGACAACTGCCTCTTGGTCCAAGTATAGGTTTCGCATTAGCACGATTAAATGTTCTGGGATTCTCATTCTTCTCAGAGTCAGCCACAGTTTGTTATGATCCACACAGTCAGATGTCTTTGCATAATCAATGAAACACAGATAGACATTCTTCTGGTATTCTCTGCTTTCAGCTAAGATCTGTCTAACATCAGCTACAATATCCCTAGTACCACGACCCCTTCTAAACCCAGCCTGGACTTCTGGCAGTTCTCTGCTGATGTACTGTTCCAGTCGTTTTTGGATAATCTTGATCCATAATCTTCAAAATATTTAAGAACGATGAAGTCAGTTTGAAGACTAGGTGGTGCGCCTTATTTAAGCCATGGTCTTTTCAATCCCCTGCTGCACATCTGAGAGCTGGATAAATAAAGATGCCAGAAGACAAATTGATACTTCTCACTGGTAGTGCTAGAGAAGAGTACTAACTAGCTCATGGACTGCCAAAAGAACCAAGATAATGTCTTGGAAAAAATGCAGCCTGAAGTTCTTGGAGGCAAAGACGACGAAGCTCCCATTTCTCATACTCTGGGCATGTTGCTGGGAGAGGCGCTTTTTTGGAAAGGGACATCATGAACCAGTTCCCTTTTGGTGGACATTTAGGTTGCTTGCTAATTGTTAATTGCTGTTACAAGCAGTTTTGCCGTGGACATCCTTGGATATATATCTTGGTGAAATTATGAGTCAAAGAATATAAGCACTAAAAATTCTGATAGATATAACCTGATAAACTATAAAAATATGTATCTGTTTGTAGATGAGCACTCTTGACTTGGTTGGCAAAGTTCCTTAGTTTATTTATTTTTTTTAAATTTTTTTTTTCTAATGAGGTTTTTATTGGTTAGAATCATGTTTGTGGTTGTAATCCATTTTACATGTAATATACAGTAGCATTCTAATATCTGATATTAAATAACTTATTGACAAATTCTAATACTGAACATGTAATAAGTCAACCTCTACTAACAATATAAAAACAAAACCAATGAGTTTATCTTAGAAAATTTAAATTAAAACTATTATTTCACAATTTGGAAGTCAGAGTAATCCAACTTTATGATGACTTTTTCATTGTTGAATCGTGCTTTGTCGATGCGTGATTTGGGGCTTCCTTTTGTCTCAAGCCATTCTTGCATATGGCATACTTTTGAGGTGGGACCTTACAATTGTCCTTGTACCGTGCCCTGGTCAGTGTTCTGAACCCAGCCTACCAAGCCCAGCTTTTTACTCTCAGCCTGTGTGTACTTGTGGAAAAACACCCCTTGCATCTTCCCAAAAATTTCATAATCCACTGATATCAGGGTGTCCCCTTCTGCCATGCTCACACCCAGCTTCCATGTGATCATCAGAACCCCCACTGCTAACATTTCAGGGCTCAGTGGATTGACAGGCACACCGCGGGGCCCAGGCCAGGGCTCACCCTTCTTGTATTCCTCAAAGGCCAACAGGACCAGCCGGCTGCCCACCGCACCAACTGCTCCTGTTGGCCAGTTCCTTAGTTTATTACGATAGAATTTCAAGTGGGTGGTATTCAAACTCAGCCCATTTTCTGGTAAATTTTGAGGTAAATCTGAAACAGGTTTATTGGGAGCTTTAGAAATTGGGATAGGCCTCTGACTCTATGGACCACTGTAGGCAGGTCAGGTCTCACAGCTGGGGAGTGTCTTTATTTTCAACAGAATTGGATCATCTTGCCCTGTGTTTTGTTAGGGAATGAAAGGAGTATGATTATATTAGTAAAGTGTTTACAACTCCTTTACCAAAGAATTGGCACATTGACATTCTTTAAGAGTGATAGAAGCTGATTTTTAAATTATTAATAAATTAATATCGTTAATAAACAGGCTTTTGTTACTTTTATCCTTAGGTATATAGAAATGAAAGCACATCCCTTTCTTCCTTTGACTTCTTGGCAGAAGATGCCTCCACTTTAGTAGTAGGACACTGGGATGGAAGTATGTCACTTGTGGATACACGGACACCTGGAACTTCTCATGAGAAACTTACCAAGTGCTCTATGGAAAAAATAAGAACTATTCATGTTCATCCTGTGCATAGACAGTATTTTATTACTGCAGGATTAAGGTATGTTCATCCTATAATGTTATAATTTAGGCTTTTTAATGTCACAAATACATGTTTTAGTTTGGTTGTGAAAGCCATCTGAATTTTGTGATAACTTAAGAGACCAAATGATTTTCCTTTCTACATTGATTGAGAACTTTTGTTTTCCTTCACTCTCTGTGTATATTATTTTCTCTGTATGTATGTCAGTTATTTATCTGAATAGAGAATTTTTATCCATCTTATTTACTTATTTAATGACATTTTATTCAAACAAATTTTGACCAAATGCTAAATACAACTGGAAACTGGTAAGCACTAGTTTTATTCCAAAGGAATAGGTTCATTCAGATTTACTCCAATAAATATGCAGCCCTTACACAAAACTTTTCATTTCATTTATAAAGAACAAGGAAAACCCCCCACTTACATACCCCACACCCCACCTATACCCTATACAGTAGTCTTTCATAAAGTTCACTGCACAAAAGAAATTCTTCTTTTAGGATTTTGATGCTTTTTTATTTAATGATTAAAGAACACAGCTTTTATAAATTTTTTACTCCTTTAACATCCTCATAAGTTTTTCTTGAAGATAGTGTAGAAAAGACCAATATTTTTACACATTTTACTATGTTTTTTTTTTTAAACATCATGTGATTATCATTTAAAAAAATTAAATTCTTTTGGATTTAATAGTAAAATCACCAAAACAGACATTCTTTTGTTTTCTTTGGCACAACGTAATTACTTCTTAATCTTTTGAGAAGAAAAGAAAAATCTACTTTTTTAAAAAAATGAGTTGTATGTGACTATCAAGTATCAGTCGAAGTTATTTCTTGAAGTGGTTAGAAAAACCAGTTGAAAACTTGTATCTCTGAGTCTCCACTTGGATCTCCGTTGATTATCTGTATCTAATGTAGTTTTGGAATTTTAAAACTATTCTCATGGAGCTCTGGTGGCCTAGTGGCAAGAAGCTGCACTGCAATCCCAGAGGTATGTGGTTCGAATCCAACAGATGCTCTGCTGAAGGAGGGCTAATCTCCTCCTGTCCCAGTCAGATCCATTCTGATGATACACAAAAATAATGAAATTTAAAAAAAAACAACCTAACCCCAACCCCAAACAAAAAACTATTCTCCAGTTTTAAATCTGTGTTTATAAAATTAATACAGATTAGCAGGGTCTATACTAAATATGCCTCAATGTAACAAGTATTTGAGTATCTGATTTATGTTCAGTCCTATTATATGTGCTATGGTAATACTGGCAATTATTCCTTTATTACAGGGATGTTCATATTTATGATGCAAGAAACCTGAGTCCCAGGGCAAGACAGCCTTTGATTTCTTTGACTCAACATACAAAGAGCATTGCTTCTGCTTATTTTTCACCTGTAACTGGTAACAGAGTGGTAACCACATGTGCTGATTGTAATCTGAGGTAAATTTGGAAGGTAGAAATATTTTTAAAGGAATCCTAAAAGTCTTGCTACTCCATCGTAAATCAGAAGGGTGTTGTTCGTCTCCCTCTTTAATCACTAGTGTCATCAGTTAGAGTCCCAGAGACCCAGGACCTGGGCTTTTAATGGCTTTCAACAGTTTGCAAGTTCTGGAGATTTCTTTGGAACTATATAGAGTCTGCCAAAGAATATCTACAGCTGCTCTAGGGAGTTAATAATGGGCTTTCCTTTTCAAACTGATGAATCCCAGAAGTCCCACTCAAACTAGTTATGCATTCTCTCTGAGGAGAGATAATTTTAGCCTCGGAAGCTCTTACTTTGGAGATGGTGGATATCTATTCTACCAATGCAATGATGAATGGAATTTTTCGTATCTGTTGAATTTGTACTGTGGGTAGGCCTAATAATGGTTCTTATTGAGACCTGTCTGTTGAGAAGTGCATTACCTGTGGAGAATGGCACGTACTAGTTTGGTAATATTGATTTGGTTCTGACTCATCTTAATCTTCACAAATGTTGGTAAGCTTTAGCTCACTGCTACAGCCACTGTGTCAATCTCTCTTGTTGAGGGTTTTCTTTTTCACTGATTCTCCCCTTTTCCAAGCATGATGTCCTTCTTTAGGGACTGTTTCCTACTAATAAATAACATGTCTAAATTACATGAAATCAAATTTTACCATTCTCACTTCTAAGGAGCATTCTAACTGTTCTTGAGTCCTTGATATTCCATATCCTTTGCCAGCACCACAATTAAAAAACATCAGTTCTTCTAACTTACTCATTGTCCAGCTTTATCATGCGTCTGTTGTTATGTGGTTTTGTGCTATAGAAGCCCTCTGAACACCAAATCGTTGGAACCTTGCCCAATCTTGTGCCTTCCTCACCATCTCCAGTGTTCTTGAGCCCACTCTCACTGGGTCTATCATCTTGTTGAGAGCCGGCCCTCCTCTGCTGACCCTCCACCTTTCCAAACATGATGTCCTTCTCCAAGGCCTGACCTCCCTCAACAACATGCCCAGAGTTTGCGAGATGAACTCTGACCATCCTTACCCCGGGAGGACCTTGTTTGCAGGTTCACACCTATGAGGTGATACAAAGCAACATGGCTTGGGTCAGATGCACCTTAATCCCTCAAAGTCACATTTTTGCTTTTTAAACACTTTAAAGAAGTTTTTTGCAGCAGATTTGCTTAATTCAACACATCATTTAATTTCTTTTTTAAAAATGAATTTTAATAAAAGTTTACAGAGACTCTGGATTTCCATTCATTGTTGTGCTTTCTTCCCTTCCCCACCTGCCCCCCTCCCCCAGTTTGCTTTTCTCTTTGAATAGTAAAAGAAGAATTCTTTCATTGTTAAACAATCCCTCCCCACAAGTCCACTCCACTATGCAGCCTTTGTTTGAAACGAAAATTTCTTTCATTGTTATACAGTCCCTCCCGTCCAAGTTCACTCCTTTGTTCTGGATTCCTGTCATGACAATAATACCTAATCATATATCCCTTCTCTCCCTCATCTGTTGCAATGCAGTATACATAATTTATCCCATCTTTCTCAGTCTCCTCCCAACCCTGATGTCAGTCCTGTTTTACAACAGTGGCACCATGCAGTATTTGTCCTTTTGTGACTGAGATATTTCACTCAGCATAATGTCCTCCAGGGTCACCCATTTTTTATAATATTTCATGAGTTTCTTGTTTTTCAGTGCAGCAGTTTTCCATTGTGTGACTGTACCACAGCTTCTCTAGCCATTTGTTTATTAATGGGCACTTAGGTGGTTTCCAACTCTTCCCTATTGTGAACAAAGCCACAATAAACATGGTGTGTATGTATCTGCTTTGGTGGCGGTTGTGGTTTCTTTGGGGTATATTCCCAGTAGTGGAATTGTTGGGTCAAATGATTTTTCTGTTTGCAACTTTTTAAGAAAGCACCATACAGCCTTCCATAGTGGTTGCACCATTTTACACACCCAACAGTGAATTAAGGGTTCCAGTTTCTCCACAACCTCGCCAGCATTTGTTGTTTGCTGTTCTGTTAAATTTTGCTATTCTTAACTGGGGTGAGATGATATCTCATAGTTGTTTTGACATTTAATTTCTTGACTGCTGCTGCTTCGAGTGCTGATTGTGGATCCAAGTAAAATTAAATCTTGATAACTTTTTTCTTTATTTCATTTATCATTTTGTGGCTTATTGGTCAGTTATAAGGATTTTATTTTCTCTGTTGAGGTGTAACCTGTACTGATGACTGTTGACTTTTAAATTAGCAAGTGCTTCAAATTCTCTTTTATTTCAGTGAGTTATGTCATCTGCACATTTGCCCATCACAATTCTTCATGAAATTTCCTTTGATACTAATGTTTTATTCTTCATCTAGTCTCGTTTCTTAGCATACAGATTGAATATGGTGAAAGGATGCATCCTTGACGCACACTAGTCCTGATTTTAAACCATGTAGTATCTTCTTGTTTTTCAGCAGCGTTCTCTTATTCTGATTTGCAGTCCTTTGTAATTTGTGTGGATCCACAGGGCCAAATGCCTTACGGTTTTCAGCACTCAGAGCCTTGGTGGTACATGAAGAAAGTAAACAGGAAATGGCAGCCCACCATCCACTCTCCACTCAGGCTGTTTTGTCTGAAGAGCTATTTGTTCTGATTTTGTTCATTTACACTGTAGATTTACTCACGTAACATCATTGTTCATGATTTGACTTTCTTGTAATCTGATTAGACAATAAAAACTCCATCGGGAACAGTGGGGAGAAGGCGATGGCAGTGATGATTAGCTTTCTCTGTCAGAGTGGCCAGCAGAGGTTCTAGATTCCTACAAGTTTCTAGTTTAAAACAACTCCTCTCCTTGGTTGTGAGCCAGTGTTAGTTTTGTCAGAGCACTTGGAAATAACACTGTTGGCTTTTTTAGCTTTTGAGTTCTTAATATATGCAGTTTTAGGTATTTGTGCATTTGTAGACCATATCCTGTTTGTATATCTCATCTTGTGCATTTGAATACAATTTTAGGGTACAGATTATCCTTTCTAATGTACGTTTTAAGGTTGACAGGACCCTTGGTGGTATAGTCTGCTAATTAAAAGTTAGTTTAAACCTATGAGCTGTGTTGTGGGAGGATGACATGGCAACCTGTTTCTGTAAAGATTTACAGCTTCCTGGGTAATCCTGTGGGCAGTCCTAATTTGTTCTATAGGGTTAGTACTGAATATACCATGGACTGATAGGAGAACAAACAGGTTTGTCTTGGCGTGAAACCAGTCTACTCCTTGGAGGCAAGGATTCTGAAGCTTCGTCTGACAAAGTTTGGGCATGTTTCAAGGCGGGATCTGTTCTTGGAGAGGGACGTTATGCTTGGGAGGATGGAAGGACAGCACAGGAGAGGAAAATCCTCAATGAGATGGATTAACTCAGTGATGAGGGTAATTGAGGGTAGGTGTGTTGGAGATAGTGAGGCACAGGATAGAGCAGGGTTTAGGGCTGTTGTATATAGGGTCGCCATGAGTCACAAGCAACTCAACAGCATATAACAAGAACGGAATTATTATTGGCAACAGAGTTGAAGCTTGGGGGGGGTTTGAGTGAATTTTACAAATCTTACTGGATTTTCATTTAATCATATGTACATATCTTGTTTTATAATATCAAATACAATTGATTAATGTAATTGATGAGTTACAATGTCTGATCAACCTCTTATTAAATAGTGCTTTTCCAGTCACCCAAGTTAACTGTTTGTTGATTTTTACTCCTCTCTTCATCCCTACTCCTTCTTAGCCCAGGTAATCACTTGGATTTGGTTTTGGTTTTAAATTTAGGGTAAAAGTTTTGGAGTAAATTGCAGCATTTCTACACAAAATAGAATGTTATAATATTTCTTGTGAGTTTGTTATTGTTGTTAAATGTTATTAGCTGAGAGCCTATCTTTTATAATGTAAAGTGAGAATCTTGTTAAATACATTGAATTTATTTCACAATATTTTCAAGGTATAAGACAAAGAGTGTGTCATTTTATTCTTGATACTTATTTTGCAGAATCTTTGACAGCAGCTGTGTATCCTCTCGTCTTCCTCTCCTCACCACAATTAGGTAGGTTCTCATATGTGAAGACCAGATTAAGATGAACTACTTGTTGGAGTGCATACTTTAAACATTTGATTCTCAAAGAGATGTAACAGGTGTGCTTCTGTATTGCATTGTTTATTTCCCCCAGTTAATTCTATCTGGAAGCTACTTGAGGATGTCTGTAAAGAGGGCTTAATCTCTTTTCAGTCAGTAACTATTCTCTGAAGCTTAGAGGTTATTTAGTTGAGGTTAATGACTTTATTAAGACCTGAATTACTTATGTTATCTTATCTCATCCTTATCTTACATATGCTACTTTGAATTCATGTGTGTGTGTGTGTGTGTGTGCATCAAAGGTAGACATTTACTCAGTACCTTTTCCCTTATTATCAGTATTTATGATGTTGGAGGCAGGATGTTTGATTTGTTTTATGAGACTTACTGTTTCCAGAGGCTATATTTAGGTATGTTAGTATATTTTTTCTGAAGTTTTTTCCTTTCTTATTTCCTTTTTTCATGCTGTCCATGCTAGTCTGTCAGTTTATAATGTGTTTGATTTTTTAAAAAAAAATTATTTTATTCTTTTTTGTGTGTGTACCGTCAAATCAAATCCGACTGGTACAGGAGATTGTCCCTCCTTCTCCAGCAGAGCGTATCTGTTGGATTCGAACCGCATACCTCTGGGATTGCAGTGCAGCTTCTTGCCACTAGGCCACCAGAGGGCCCTGTGTTTGATTTTTTTTTAATGTGTGTTCTTTTGGTGATTGTTGGTTTTTAAATTTATCTAGGATGTTGATTCTGGTAGCTGTAGGGATTTCCATTAAAGATTGAGTTACTGAGTTGCAATTGAAAACATGTTTCTCCGTTGTTTACATTGATTAATGGTTAGATACAGAGAAAAGGGAAAGCACTTTTCTTTCTGTTTTGGTGACCTATAAAGGGCCCTAAATGGAAAGAATTTAAACTTGAAAGTTGTATGGAGCATAAACTAGTTTTAGTGCTCAGTTGAGAAGAAAAATATGGGAAGTAGTCAATCCTGTTAAGATAGCCATAAATAATCTGGATCACAGATTTTCTATTTCTGGGGTTCATCTTTGAGCTAAGAAAGGTATTTTCATTGGCAAAGTCCTCTTATTTTGTCTGTTACTGAGGAAACAGTGGTCAAAGAGTATCATTTCAGTTAAATGGAAAAGGAAATGAAGAAGGAAAAAACTTGAGGGAAAAGGTTATGAACATATATTACAAACTGTAAGGCTCATGAAACAATCAATGTAAATCACACATCCTAGCGTGGCAGCCAGTGAACCACTGCTGAGCACGAACCGTTGTGTTCGGCCCTGGAGAATCTAAGATGAGGAAGATGGAAGACAGACATGAAGGGAGCTCTGGTGGCCCAGTGGCAAGAAGCTGCACTACCAATCTCAAGGCGCACGGTTCAAATCCACCAGATGCTCTGCTGGAGAAGGAGGTACAATCTCTTCCTGTACCAGTCAGATCAGATGTGATGGTACACATGCACACGTATTATAATAATAATAATAATAATAATAATAATAGACAGAGATGGAAAATGTCACTCTTCCCAGGTTTGAATATTAAAGGAAGGAGGAGAAAAGGGTTAATGGCAACTCAGTAAATTGAGGAGAACGTCAGCATATAAAATAAGCATTTAGGAGCACTGTCATCCATATCCCCTGACCAGTACTACCTATATTTAGCTTTTTTTTTAAAAATATGTTTTTTCACTAGGCATAACACCAATACAGGGCGCTGGCTGACCAGATTCCGAGCTGTGTGGGACCCTAAACAAGAAGACTGTGTCATAGTTGGCAGCATGGCCTATCCCCGGAGAGTGGAGATCTTCCAGGAGACAGGAAAGTGCCTGCACTCTTTCCTTGATGGAGAGTATCTTGCTTCTGTGTGTTCTATCAATGCCATGCATCCAACTCGGTATATATTGGCTGGGGGTAATTCCAGTGGGAAGGTACATGTTTTTATGAATTAAAGTTTCTGAGGTTTTGGTTTAGAGTCACTGATTTGTTCAAATTAATCAGTGTCTGAAGAACCCAGAAAGAAAAAGTGAAATTCATATGGTTTAGTTTATTTGCTTGTAATATATTGTACTTAGCCAATATAAAATTTATAATAACATTCCAGTAAGTGGAATAGACATTTTGTAAGGAAGAAGCCCTGGGGGTTGTTTTCTACAGGTGTGGGAGGGAAAACGTCAGCACTTTCAGGTTTAAGTGAGAACTTCTAAGTTTATAAATGAAAAAGTTTTGAAATGGTCAGTATTAAATATTTTTGTGACTGAATAGAATAGCTTTGAATCTATAGGAAGATTTAGATTTTTGGTTTATTTTGTAGCTTGGAATGAATATTTTTATCTTACATTGGATGGGGCTTTGTAAATCTAATTCAGTGATTTTGCAACTTAGTTTTTTAAATATAGAATTCCTTTTGGTTTTTTTTCTCCTTTCTAAATAAAATCTTACGTGAAATCATAACGTAATAGCTGAGTAGCTTTGATTGATGTGGGATGGGACCTGAGTCTGCATACTGAACCTTTCCCTTCCCTCATCTCTGGACAGTTCATTAGACACCATCAAGAGATCGTAGGGCTATTAGGCCCTCGGTCTGGGTCTGCCTTATCATGTAAGCCAGATGGAACAACCCACAAACAAAGTCTTTCCTAAATATGGGTGGCAGTCATTGGTAAACAAGAAATACACAGTTTAAAAATAAAAAAGGCAAGAAATTGTACACAACCAAAACCATAATTAGAACTAGTATCACTTTGTGACACTTAGTTACGTATGCATAAGCAGGTTCTTATTTATTCTGATGTCGGTGTGTTTATTACTGTGGGTCAGTGTTGTTGTTGTTATGTGCCGTTGAGTCACTTGCGACTCATAGTGACCCTATGTACAACAGCCCTAAACCCTGCTCTATCCTGTGCCAATCACACTGCCTCTGACACACCCATCCCGATTACCCCAGTCACTGAATCAGTCCACCTCATAGAGGGTCTTCCCCTCCTGTGCTGTCCCTCCACTCTCCCAAGCATGATGTCCCTCTCCAAGGACCTGTCCCTCCATACAACATGTCCAAAGTATGTCAGACAAAGCCCCAGAATCCTTGCCTCCAAGGAGTAGCCTGGTTTAACCCTCTCCAGGATGAATCTGTTTGTTTTCTTGGCAGTCCATGGTATATTCAATACTCTTCTCTAGTACCACAGCTCAAAGGCTTCTATCTCTTTTTCTATCCTCCTTAGTCATTGTTCAACTCTTTGATGCATAACAAGTGATTGCAAAGACCACAGCCCGTATTAGACGCACCTTAGTCTCCAGAGTGACACCATCGATCTTCAGTACCCTGGTGAGGTCCCTAACAGCAGACTTTCCCATCACAATACATCTTTGAATTTCCTGCCTACTGGTGCCAAGAGTGTTGACTGTGGAGCCAAGCAGACTAAAGTTGTTAACAATCTCAATCTCTTCACCATCCCTCCTGATGGTGCCAACTGGGCTAGTGGTGAGAATCTTTGTCTTCTTGACATTGAGCCTCAATCCATACTGAAGGCTGCAGTCCTTGACCCTCTGCAGCAAGCGTTTCAGGTCCTCCTCAGTTTCAGCGAGCAGGGCTGTGTCATCTGCATAACGCAGATTGTTGATAGATCTTCCACCAAACCTGATACCACACTTCTCATAGAGCCCAGCCTCCTGGATAATTCTGTTCTGCATACAGGTTGAAAAGGTATGGAGATAGGACACATCCCTGGCATACACCCTTCCCAATTTTGAACCATGTAGTGTTTCCTTCCTCTGTTGAAAACTACTGTATTAGAATACCCTCACCTGCCTTAGCTACCCCTTTCTTTAAACTCTCCAGAGGTGGCTTAAAAGCTTTTTTTTTTTTTTTAAATTTTTGTGTGCGTGTACCGTCAAATCAGATCTGACTGGTACAGGAGGAGATTGTCCCTCCTTCCTTGGCAGAGCATCTGGTGGATTCGAACCATGCACCTCTGGGATTGTAGTTGCAGCTCCTTGCCACTAGGCTACCAGAGCTCCCCTAAAAGCTTCTTAAGTGATTATCTTTTTTCTTCCTCATATTTTGAAGAAATAAATGCTATATTCAGTACTTCTGGCATTTATTCATTAAGCAGTTTTCTTTTTAGAAGTTACGTGTTTGTTGTTGGGAAGCAGAGCTGCTGCTGCACTTGATTTATAGATATCACAGACTTGTGGTAGTACCTGTACAACCTTTCATTCTTCATAATTCAAATAATTCTTCATTTCTGACTTACTATTCAAAGACTGTTTAAATAGCCTTGGCAATATTTATTAATTTTAAGATGAAGTATTATCTTCTCATAACTATATCACAGTTTCCTTGAAGAATAATTTTCTAAGTAATTTCTTTTTCTGTAGTCATAAGTATTTTGAAGGCTTAGTTTTTAAATAGGTTGTAGGCATCTGTAAGGAGCTCTTGTGTACAATACCAAGTTGTCCTACTAAACAAAAGGCCATGTGCTGCCAGCCAAAAAAAAAAGTGGTTGGAATGTACCAGGAACTTGTCGGAGAAAGATGGGCAATCTTTTCCTGCTAAGATTTACAGCTTTGGAAACTCAATGGAAGGTTACTATGAATCGAAATTGACTGGACGCCAGTGAGCTTGAGCTCTAGGTGTTTATAAGGAATTTGTTGTGTGCCACGATGGTGATTCCAACTCCTAGCAAGCCTAAGGAACACAGAACTGCCCTATAAGACTTCCCAGGCTGCAGTCTGTACAGGAGCAGGCTGGCCTTTCTCTGGTGAGGCCACTGGGTGAGTTCTAGTTGACAACTTTAGTTAGCAGCCAGGTGTTTAACTGTTACACCACTAGGGCTTTTTGTAAGGAGTTCTTTATTTTCCGGGTACCATAAGTTCAGGAATTGACAAGCGAGATGAAAACATGAATTTATGAAGTAGAAATTACAGCTGAGTGAGACTGAATAGTATTTAAACTGTGCACCCTTTCCTACACCACTTAATTTCCCAAGTTCTAAAGTTCTGTGGGAATATTTTTTCCTCAGATACAGAAAACTACTTTTAAATCAAATTAGCAGCATCATTTAAGCTTTGAATACTAAGCTTTGAGTATTTATTGCCTGGCTTTGACAGTCAACTAGAAAATTCTTGGTGTTTCTCACTTGTAGTTTCTTCTGCCATTGCAGCTTCATAAACTGTATGGAACAGTGCAACTCAATACACACTGTTCTCCAGAGTTCAGGTTCATACACAAGACTCACTTATTCTCACCACTGTTGAATCAGTTCCGACTCTTGGTTTCCAACTCCATCAGGTTTCAGAGGCCATAGATCACCCTTAGTGGAGGCTGGCCATCTGAGAAGCTACTATGGATTTGAACCACCATGCACAGCCTTTGGGTCAGCACAGCTCACTACAGACTAAACTACCAGAGCTTCCTTAAGCCATATTATTTCTCTTCAGTCCCTTTTAATAGAGTTTTATCTTGAGGTACTATTGTAGTTATGTGCCATCAAATCACCTGCGACTCATAGCGACCCTGTACAACAGCCTTAAACCCTGCTCTATCCTGTGCCAATCTCACTGTCTGTGACACATGTACCCATTACGCTGGCCACTGAATCAATTCACCTCACAGAGGGTTCTCCTCTCCTGTGCAGTCCTCCAAGGACTGACTGGTCCCTCCTTGCAACATGTCCAAAGTATGTCAGATGAAACTTCAGAATCTTTGCCTCCAAGGAGCAGCCTGGTTTAACCCTTTCTAGGTTGAACCTGTTCGTTTTCTCGGCAGTCCATGGTACATTCAACACTCTTCTCCAGCACCACAGCTCAAAGGCGTTAATTCTCCTTCTATCCTCCCTAGTCATTGTCCAACTCTCTGATGCATAACAAGTGATACCAAAGACCATGGCCTGTATCAGGTGCACCTTAGTCTCCAAAGAGACACCTTTGCTCTTCAGTACTTTGGAGAGGTCCCTAACAGCAGACTTTCCCATCACAATACATCTTTTAATTTCCTAGCTGCTGGTGCCAAGAGTGTTGACCGTGGAGCCAAGCAAACTAAAGTTGTTAACAGTCTCAATCTCTTTACCATCCATCCTGATGCTTCACTTGGCCCAGTGGTGAGAATCTTTGTCTACAGAGAATAAAGTGGATAGGAACCTGTTTGTCGGTGATAAGCCTTATAGTGACATCATTTTATAACTGTTTTCATCTAGAAAGTACATGGAGGGGAATGATCTCCTTTAGGACTTTTTTAATTGTAATAAAATTGTAGTGAAAGGTAATTCTTTGTAGAGAGTTTTTTAAAGTTGTGTGTGTTTAATTACAGATGTATTATGATAACTCTTTAAAATAAACCTTTATAAAGTTTGGCCTTTATCATCTCTCTTAAGCATATAAGCTCTGAATTCCTCTTGAGTTTCTTTGAGATGTCCATGACTTTAAGGAAGGAGACAGTTCCCATTTTCAGTGGCCAGAGACTTGGTCATAGTAGGAAATAGTGTGAATAATTAGGAAATAACAGAATCTGAGTTATTTATATCCTGTTTTAGTATTCTGACCTTTTATTTCTAGGAGACATTTAAAAGGGCAGAAAGGCAGCTGTACCATCTAGTTACATTTAAGAAAATTACTTAATCTTCAATCTTTTTTATTTTCCTAGTTAGGAAATGAGGTCTACTTCATCTTTAAACTGATTCCATACTTATATCTTCTCAGTTCATAATAGCATTTATTTTAGGGGGAAGGAGAAGGAATAGCAAATAATAAGCAAAAATGCTTATTGCAAATCCCATCCTTAAACAACGGTCAGTTTGTGATCCCACTGGTATTTTTTAATCTATTATGTTGGTAACTTTTAAAGGGAAAAACAAGATAGGCTGCAAGGGAAAAAAAGAAAGAACCCACTCTTTTGCATGGTATTTAAATATTTATTTAAGTTTAAAAATAATCTTCATGGCACCAATGATTTAATGCTAACTACATAATGCATATGTAGAAAAAAGTACATTGCTCTGAAGGAAATGTAACTTAGAAATTTTGGCACACAAAAAAGGTTAACAACTATGTATTTTGTTAATGAAACTTAAGAAATTCACATTTGCAGGTTGTTTACCTTCTACTGCTTAAAGATGCAGTACACTATTTTTTAGTGAGGTTTATTTCTTCTGATAGATGAAGCTATGGACCATGGCTGATCCTAAAATGAGATCAAACTAATTTTGAGAAAAAAAAATAGGAGACATAGTGGAACACAGTGAAACCACATTAAAAACGTGAACAATTTTAAATGGTGTGGAGATTTAAAAAACAAAACTAGTTGCCAACAAAAGGAGGTTTGTTACTCAAGCACTATTTGAAAAGCAAATTGAAGGAAACTTTTCTATCCATATTTTCTGGGCTTAGCCCTGGGGTTGGGGGAACCACATAACCCGAAAGTTTCTGTTCAGAGAGCAAAATTAGACTTTTGAAAGTGTTATCTATTACACTGTTAGAACTCTAGACACAAGTAACATATCAGGAAAATGGAATACTGCATCTTTCTTGAATGTGAATATGTAAGGTCAGAGTTGAGGCTCACTGCATAGAAACACCATTTATTCTACAGTCTGAGGTAGGAACACTACACTAAAAGGTAATCTGCTATGTTGCATAAGACAGTAGATATCCAGGTCAAAACCAGCCACCTATCTCCTGACAGCCTTTTTATTTCTGAGTCTACCTTTTCACTTTAGCCCTGTACTGAAGAAAGCCTCTTCTGTGCAAATGACAGTGGCAGTGACTAGTTGGTTTAAAGTGATCCCTAATTTTTACCAGGATTTCTCTCATTTTGTCTTATCACTTGGGAAATAGATTTAACTGCCCAGATCATTGCTGGTATGGAAATGATCAGGTAGGCCGCCTTCCATTAGATTCCGGCATTCTGGTATTTGATCTTGTGCATCTTGGCTTCAGACATCTCTTTGCTGGTTAGTTGTTCGAGCACCCTTTAAATAAGCAAGCTCAGTGCCTCCATGAGGGATGCAGTTCTACCTACATCTTTAACACCCTCCTTCCACTATATACTGAAAAGGACCAGTTTCATGTTCAATATAGATTGACAAGATCTATGGGCCAAAATCAGCTCTCTGTTTTTAATGGAATAAGCCATGTGTGTTTACCACCTCAGGCTGTTTTTTTGTGCTACAGAGGCATAGTTGAGTAGTTGTAACAAGGTGTGGCCCGCAAAATAAAAATATAAAAAATTACCACCTGGCACTTAAAGTTAGCTAACCCCTGGTCTAGATGAAAGGGCATCTTTCTTTAAAAGTCTGTAGTTAGGAGTTTTCTCTTCTCTCCCACCCAAGTTCAGAGGAAACATTTCTCCACTGCTGTCCACTGCTGTTACATTCTACACATTTACATACTGGGGGAGATCAGAGCTATAAATGACTCATTCTGCTCGTCAGCCAGTGTCAGCAGTGTTCCACTCTTGTGGGGGCCCGGGAATATGTCCACTGATAGTCCTTCAGTAAGTCTCCAGGCCTTAGATGACTTGGGAATCTCTCCCTGAGATGAAAACAAGATCATATGTGACTGATTTCACGAGTTGTCAAAATTGGGCCTCCATCTCCACTTAACCTTCCCTTCCAGGCCTTCCCTTAGCAGGGCTGTAGGGGCTTGTCTAGACTAGGATTCATTTTCCTGGTACAGAGGCTGACTCTAGGGGGCAGTATTGTAACAGCTTAAACTTGGTCTCTTTGCCACAGTCACCATCTTTCTTTTGGTGGGCATCTCTTAAAACCCTATTTAAAGAGATTCTTTTCCCTTCCAAGGCTGTGTGTTGATCTTGAAGTTGTATTTTTCTGAAGCTTTTCATTTTCAGGATCAGTATCTTTCTTCCATCGTTCAGTTCATCAGGTTCTATTTTCTTAATCCATAAAGTAAAAACAAAATATGAATTGATAAGAAAATAACACTTTTGTTGTTAAAATAGAAATTGAAATAGTCTCTTTCTTTTTTGGATGTGTACAAAATAAGTACTGCTCTCTGAATTTAGCTCTGGTTTCTGTTAACCACACGTATGACAATTCTCATAGTACTATCTCTGGCACCACTGAATTCATTTAATGAAGTTAAATCTTGAAGTTCTTCAGAAAAAATCACCTAACGCTGGGTTCATTATACAATGCTCATGGCGATGCCCACTAGGCTCTAGTCTAAGGGGACAGACTTACCCCACCCCTGCTGCTGCTCCTCTTGCTGGAGCCGAGGTCCCTTCAGATTCCCACTCTGCTCAGATTTGAAAAAACAAAAGGAAAAGAAAATCCAACTCAGACCATCATCAGAAGCAACTTTCTATTTAATCATTCTACATGGATGTTAACTTTTTAAAAAGTTTTGCCTGGCAAGAAAACGTAAACCATGCCCACTGCAGACCCCTGGCCTGTCCCGCTGAGGCTGCAGGAGAGAAGCTCCCGCAGAACAGTGGACAGAGCGCTCACTAGTCTTCAACCCGTGTCCCGTCCGCTCGGGGACACTACTGCAATAATCATTAATAGTAAAATAAATTTTCTTTATTTAGTACTTTCAAAATAATACACATCTATGAAAAGTCAAAATTCAAAACCAAAAGTTATCCTGCAAATTGGAAGGATGAGAGAGTCGCTGAGCCTTTCTTGAAAGAACCTTTGAAGAACATGAATTTTCCCAGTTTGTTTGGACAGGGCACGAGCCTCTCCCTTTCTTCTTCTGGGAAACGACCCTCCTAGGCTGCAGTGGACTTTGAGTCATGAGAGGAGGACTTGGTATGTGTGCCGATGGTTCCGCGATGGGTCGGGTCCCTTTGCTGGGAAGGGGTAGCCAGGTTCTCCTTGGTCCACCTGGCTAGTTATAGGGAGGAGTCATGCCTTCTCAGGTGTCAATGAGCAGGCTCACCACTGAGCGGATTTTGCAGGCAAACCATCGCCTGAGGGGACAAAAGTATTGATAGTGGAATTGTTCAAACTCGGGGGTCTGGCGGATATCTCGGAAAAAGGCAATGTCAAGGTCAGACTCAGTAAGGATGATCAGGAGGAGGAGCAAAACAAAGAGGAGTCCCATGGTCACAAGGAGCAAACGGAGGACACTTAAAACAAACTTATTCACCTGTTCCTCCTCTGGCCTGCCGTGCCCATGACACAGGGCCCTCAGCTCTCCCCCAAGGGCCTCCACCTCTGCAGCAGTTGGGGTGCTGGCTTCAGACTCCTTTTCCTCCTCGATGCTGCAGGTGGCCCCGTTGATCTGCCGAGAGAGCAGCATCAGCTCCAGGCTATGCTCGGCCACAGGGGTGGGCAGCACGCTGTCTGCGGGACTGTAGACCTCGTCTGCAATCACAGCCACTCGCTCATTGCTGTCTGCCCGGCTGCTTCTCACGTGAGGCAGGAAGGTGTCCCCGTGGGAAGAGGAGCGCACTGGCGTGGAGTGGGCACTGTCCCGGAGGGACTCCAGGCCTGGAGGAACAAAAGGAACATGAATAGGCTTTCCAGGTCACAGTGCACATTTTGCTATCCATTATTTGTAATGCATTTGGTTCTATCTAATCTAAATCTAGGAGGAAGCCCTGTTGCATCAGGAGCATAGACCTAGAGAAGCAGCAGAAATCAGAGTGGTCATGGCTGGAAGAGGTTTTGGGGGTAGGTTTTGTATCTGCCTCTAGAAGATAATAGGAATTTCTGCCTGTCATCAGTTCAGAGCTGAGGACACATTCAGGGGACTCTGGTCAACCTTGAGAGTGAGGGCCGATGCAGGCACACGTGGGCACAAGGGCAATGTGTTCTGCCAGGTTTCACTGAATACTAACTGCTTCTGGTGTGGAGTATCCTTGAACCAATCCAGCAGGTGGCTTCTCCAGCTCATGAGGTTATCTGGGATTTCTGCAGTTACTGATAGTCTCTTATACTTCCCAGCACCAGCTGTCCTGACACTCTGAGATGGAAAAATCCAATCTACTTTTTCTAAATGGTTTCTGATGGAAAAGAGGGTAGTCTCTGACCCACCCTTTCTTTTAACCTCTGAAGTAGCAAGGTCCCTTGCAGGGTGTAGAATAAATGGACAAGGACAGCAGTTTCGAATCTTGATTTCCTCCAGAGCTCAGCACGACTTCTAGGAAGATTGTGGAGGGAGGATTTGCCTGTATTTGGTAAGAGGGTGGGCTCTTCAGGCACTTAGAAGCTACCCTTTCGGTGAAAAGAAAGAAACCCTACCAACTGGGGGGAAAAACCCCTTTGGCAGTATCATCTCAGACAAGGGTCTCATAACACAGGTTTACAGAATCTTACAGGGCCTCCACAAGAACAGTTACAAAATGGGCAAAAGACGTGGAAAGACTTCACAGAGAAAGACATTCAGATGGACAACAGACACATGAAGACATACTCAAAATCGCTGGCAGTAAGAGAGATGCAAATCAAAACCACAGTGAGAAACTATCTTACCCAGTAGCAGTGGCAGAGTTTAACAGGGCAGCAAGCGATGAGTGTTGGAGAGGGAGTGAAGCGATTGGAATTCTCATACACTGTTGATGGGACTGTAAAATGGTACAACTACTTTGGAAGGCAGTTTGGTGTTTCTTCAAAAAGCTGAATTTAGAAACTGCATGACCCAGTTCTCCCACTGCTAGGAATATACATATCCCATGGAAATTAGAGCTGAGACACAGATTTGTACACTGATTTTCATAGTAGTGTTACAATTGCAAGAACATGGAAATAGCCCATATGTCTAACTACAATCAAATGGATTGAGAAACTGGTACATTCAAACAATGGAATACTATGCAGTACTCAGGAGCAATGACTTAAATACTACATAACTTGGGTAAGACTGGAGAACATTATGCTGAGTGAACGAACTTGGCCTCATAAGGACAAGAACAGCATAAGACCATTATTGTAAAAATAGAAGGATAACTAATAAGATGAGTTATGGGGTCCATGGAGGGGAGAAAGGGTGAAACTAGAGGGGCAGGGGAGAAATCACAAGATTGCAGAGTTTGGTGCGTGGAGGGAGGGGGTAAGGAAAATGGGAAAGATCTGGTGGGGACCTGAGAGGATAGGGTAATGGTGAGCATAGTTCAATGGTGATTAATTTTATAAAACACAGTGTTTGGGAATGATTGAAATATAATGTTAGTGAAGGAAAGTGAAACACAGAAATAAAGAGCAAGCGTTTAAAAAATTCCACCTAATTCATCTTTTTTCCTTAGAAAATGTTTTCCTTTTTTTAGAGCCTTGAGAAGGCTTAAGGTATGGCAGGAACAAACAGAGCTGCTTCTACCCTCAGCCCAACAGCACCATCTGGGCTTGAAGACTCGGGTTCACAGGCCCTGAGTGTAGCCCACACCCCAGAGCCCTGTGTCCTGTGCTAGGCTACTTTATTTCAGGTTCATTGCCAGCATTTCCCACTCCTGGGCATCTCTGTGGTAGAATGAGTCTTCCTGTCTTTAAAGCCCAAGACACGAAAAGGCAGGCCCTGCTGTGGCTCCGAGATTGACCCCAGTGTTCCCAGACTGAACCAGATTCCAGGGCTTGGTAAAGGTTGGCTTGACTAGGACCAATTAGGGACCATTAAGGGAGTTAGTCACTATTCGCTTCATTCACCTTCAAGGCTAGCTCACAAGCTCAAAGGTCTCTTGAAAAGGCATCAGTAGCCATTCAGAAGTGTCTCATGCTCCTTGGATCCCCCGTAGGGTGGCCCTTTGCACCCAGGCAGTCCATCTCAGCAGCTAGCACAGCCCCATCTCAGCTCACACAGTGCACCTGGTTAATGCTCTCTGAGAATCAGGTGTGAGTGATGAGATCAGAGGGATCGGGGATACCTGCTCTGCTTACTCCTCATTGCCTCACCCTTATTCTAGTTAATGCAGCTCATAACTCCTTTCAGAAGCTCTTTGTGGGCCTAGCTGTATTGTTTCCTGGGTGCCTCTGTTAAAATTATAAACTTTAAAAGAATGGTTGAATAGAAAACCAATTTGCTTTGTGAACTTTCATTCAAATAACAATAAATGTAAGATTTTTAAAAAAAGAGGTCAAGAGCTCAAGAAGGCTCTGGATGTTTTACAACATCTCTTGGGCTGTTTGGAACTAAACCTTGGGCAGTTGCAGCCTGTAGACTTAATTCATCCCAATTTAGTGCTCTAATCCCCCAAATCCAATTACAGCATCAGCAGCACTATGAAGTAGAAAGAAGCCTGGGTTCTAGCTTTGGCTTTAATAACCAAGCACGTGGCTTTAGGCAAGTTCCATAACCTCACGCTCTTACTACTCTGTGGAAAGATAACCTGAAGTGATTTAAAAGTTTGTAAAATATTTTGTTTTATAACAATTACAATACCCACAATAAAATGGTACTCTTCCCACTTCCTATAATTCTCATTTCCTTGAATCCTTCCATGCTATCCCTTCTTGATTTCTAGGTTTTACCCTTGGGAAAATGCTACTCTTTTAACCCAAAGGCATGTGGTCCGAGGCCACAAGCTGTGCGGTGGGAGAAGGACGGGCAACTTTCCTCCTGGGGGATTAACTGCCTCTGAAGGTCCCCTGGAGGGTCCTGGAGGGTCAGCTATTGGTTCGACTCAATGGTAAACAACAACAACGTGGTTGCTCTATGGGGTGAGCACTTCCCTGGGTTACTGCTTACCTTTTAGGCCTGTCTATTGTTTGGCTGAAAGTGGAGCCACAGGAGTTTTGTTCCAGGGCTGAAGGGTGACTCCTAAGCCTTGAGAGTTCCATCAGTCTTTCTATCGGGCCTGTAAACTTGGCATTTCTTCCTGTTGGTGAGTTTTGTTCCACGTTCCCCTCACTCTATGGAGGATCTTCCACAGCGATTTCCACTTGACCTCTTTTTTCTTTTGCTGGGAATTCCTTTCTCGCTCTTTCATTTGGACATGCAACATGAGTGATTTGTAATGCAGAATATGAGTCACTGATAAACCAGGACCTTGAGATCCTGATTGTAATGTGGTGTTGGCTGCTGTCCTTGTCAAGCTCCCTTCTAGCCTCTCCTTTCCCTGGGACCTCAGCCATTGCACAGAGGCCACTGATACTCTTCAAATGACCTCTCCTGTCACAAGGACGGCGCTCACTGCTCAGATCTTCCAAAGTGGCCAGTAGCCTGTGCAGTGTACATTTGGCTTGACCAGCCAAAGCTGGAGAAGAAACAAGTCAGAGGGACACTAGAAGCCAAGGTGATATGATCTCAGTAAAAAAAGAGTGGATGTATAGGTGCTTCTGGCAATGCCCGAACAAACAAAATTACTAAGTAAATGTTAGTCAGGCAGTTCTGGTAGCCTAGTGACAAGAAGCTGCGTTGCTATCCCAATGACACTTGGTTCGAGGCCACCAGCTGCTCTGTGGGAGGATAGGCAATCTCCTCTTGTGCAGTTAACTCTCTAAAAACCCATAGGAGGGTCAGCTATGGGTTAGTTCTGACTATACGGTACACAGCAACAACAACAAATGTTAGTCAGCTCTCTCAGCTGAAGACCTCTCTTTAAGGTTGTTCTGCTGCTGTTTTAGTCCTGGAAAAGAAGCTTGGTTTTCACTGTTGCAGAAGTCACCACCCCGCCAATGCTCCTTCATCAGCCTGTTATTCTGGTATGAATTGAATGGGCCTATGTGTGAGTTCTGAGCTAAGCACAGCAAAATAAAGGATCCTTTTTACCTTGGAGATGTTCCTGCTGATTCCCTGGCTGCCTGGCTCCCAGAGGGCTGAGGGGCACAGCAGTGAGGACCCTCCCCTGGAGCCGGGCCCCCATCCTCAGGATGCGCACACTCATGGGCCGAAAGCAGTGATTGGTCACCCGGAGCTGAACACGGACCCGGGTGTGAATCTTAATTAGACTTTTCCCCATAGTGGCCCCAGGAGACAGATGTCTTTGGTCATGCAGTTCTCTTCAGGAAAGCTAGCCGGAAGGGAGAGGCAGAGAGGAAAAGAACAGAAAGCCAACCAGGGACAAAGGGTCTTCCAAGCCTGAGCGAGCTGAGCTGCAGAGAGGAGCAGCTCTGAGAGGAGCGGCTCTGTGAGGACGTGTTATCAGGGGACTGGACTCCGCCAGCAGCTCTCAGAGCCATAAAAAGCAATGCTTCCTGAGAGCACAGCTCTTTCCGTGACGCCCACGTTAAGGGCCCCAGACCGCTCAGAAGGTGAAGGGCAGAGGACAGGGAACAGTGCCAAGAAGTAGTTGGAATCAATAATGTCCCAGAAAACCCCAAGACCCTGGGTTTGATCAGGCTACTCAGGGCATAGGTGGGGCTCTTGTGCAAAGAAGTTCGTGTCATCACTAGTTTCCAGCTGGGTGACTGGTGTCAGGAGGTGTCACTAAGTTGTAGTGACTCTGGGGTGGGAGTTGGGCGGTGACCATCCTCTGCTGTGCACTATGCTTCTGAGCTGTGGGACTATGGGTGAAAGAAATTAGCCATTCCGTAGAGCTGAGGACAGACCCAATCTAAAACAAGGTCTTCTAAGGGTCCTGGTTTGTTGAGGTAAGTACTTTTGGCCAAACTATAAAGTTATGTTTGCAAATTTCCTATTGTTTTTGGTGACTGCAAATAAAACTTTGCTACTGGAAAAGTGAAACAGCTTTTGTGATATTAATCGATTGTGTACAGTACTGGGGAAGCAGGCTCTGCTGGAGCACGAACCAATTCTCAATTGCCCACAAGCCCCTTGGCTTGGTGTGTGTGTTCTCTCCTCAAATCCTCCTCACACATTCCTGTCCCCTCCTCGGCCTGGTTGAAGTGGACAGTTGGGGTCATCTTTGTGCTCTGTGATCACTAATGGTCAAACTCTTTTCTTGAGAGATGGTGCAGCGGAACTTTCAGCTTGGATTCTTTATTTCAAGAGACTTAGTGATTCCTGTACTGGTAAACCCACTTGGGTGTTATTTGGGTGTTATTTCCCCCTATCCTGTGTCAGGAAGACGACCCACTTCATTTGCCGCTCTTCTCCCTGAGCTTGTGCATTTCATCCTCGCGGATCACTCGGCTTTCCCTGCCCACCTCCTCCAGAGTCTAGAGAGTCCTGGGCCGCCGCTGCTTACCCTGACTGAGCCACTGCCCTACGTGTGGAACACAGCCTGGGACAAGCAAGGGTGTGGGAGTGTGCCTCGTAAATACCACGTGTAGTTGCTATGCACGGGATGGCATTTACTGAGATCAGACCCCTGAGCCTTTTTCTCCCGAGACTTAGATGGAGAGCTAAGTGTGGTTCTTGTTGGCCCTCTTATTTTGGGTGTTCATCTCAGGAAGGTGGAGGCCAGCAACTAAACACAGCCAAAGACATAGAGTGTGAAGACCAGGCTGGCTTGTTGAGTTGAGCAGTACATGAGGAGAGCATGCTCCTTTGGGAATGCTATGAGACTGGATGCTTCTGTCCTATCCTGGGAAGCAGAAATGAGGTTCCTCTCCTGTCCTGATAAAGAAATCCTTGTACTGATAAAGCCACGGAACAGCTATTTTTCCCCCTACCCCTTCCAGTAAGTCTGAATCTACTCTCATCTGTTTTGCTGCATTATTGCCAGCTTTGCCTAAGATCAGTCTATTTTCTAGGAAGCTCCATAGGTCTAGTGTAAAGGCTGTGCTGCCAACCCAAAGGCACATGGTTTGAATCCACCAGCTGCTCCGAGGAAGAAAGACGGTTGTTATTATGTGCCGTCCAGTTGTTTGTGACTCATAGCGACCCTATGCACAATAGCCCTAAACTCTGCTCTGTCCTGTGCCAATCGCACTGTCTCTGACACTCCCATCCCGATTATCCCAGTCACTGAATCAATCCACCTCATAGAGGGCCTTCCCCTCCTGCGCCGTCCCTCCACCCTCCCAAGTATGATGTCCTTCTCCAAGGACCAGTCTCTCCTCACAACATGCCCAAAGTATGTTAGACGGAGCCTCAGAATCCTTGTCTCCAAGGAGCCACCTGGTTTAACCTTTTCCAGGACGAATCTATTTGTTTTCCTAGCAGTCCATGGTACTCTCAATACTGTTCTCCAGCACCACAGCTCAAAGGCATCAATTCTCCTTCTATCCTCCTTGGTCATTGTCCAACTCGCTGATGCATAACAAGTAATTGTGAAGACCATGGCCTGTATCAGACACACCTTAGTCTCCAGAGAGACACCATTGCTCTTCAGTACTTTGGAGAGGTCCCTAACAGCAGACATTCCTATGGCAATGTACCTTTTAATTTCCTGGCTACTGGTGCCAAGAGTGTTGACTGTGGAGCCAAGCAAACTAAAGCTGTGAACAGTCTCAATCTCTTCACCATCCATCCTGATGCTTCACTTAGTCCAGTGGTGAGAATCTTTGTCTTCTTGATATTGAGCCTCAATCCATATTGGAGTCTGCAGTCCTTGACCCTCTGCAGCAGGTGCTTCAGGTCCTCTTCAGTTTCAGTAAGCAGGGTTGTGTCATCTGCATAGCGCAGACTGTTGATAGATCGTCCACCAATCTTGACCCCACATTTCTCCTCATAGAGCCCAGCCTCCCGGATAATCTATTCTGCATACAGGTTGAAAAGGTATGGAGATAGGATGCATCCCTGGCGTACGTCCTTCCCAAATTTGAACCATGCAGTGTTCCCTTGCTCTGTTCTAACGACTGCCTCCTGGTCCAAGTATAGGTTTCACATTAGAATGATCAAGTGTTCTGGGATTCCCATTCTTCTCAGAGTCAGCCACAGTTTGTTATGATCCACACAGTCAAACACCTTTGCATAGTCAATGAAACACAAATAGACATTCCTCTGGTATTCTCTGCTTTCAGCTAAGATCCATCTAACATCAGCTACAATAACCCTAGTACCACGACCCCTTCTAAACCCAGCCTGGACTTCTGGCAGTTCTCTGGTGATGTGCTGTTCTAGTCATTTTTTGTAATATTCAGCAGAATCTTGCTTGCATGTGAAATCAATGAGATTGTTCTATAGTTTCCACACTCTGTTGGGTCACCCATCTTTGGGATGGGAACAAATATAGATCTCTTCCAGTCAGTTGGCCAAGTGGTTGTTCTCCAGATTTCTTGGCACAACTTGGTGAGCACATCCAGGGCAGCATCTGTTAGCTGAAATATGTCACTTGGTATACCATCTATACCTGCAATGTCCTCTTTTGCAGGTTACTGCCTTTGAAGACCCACCGGAGTGTCAGCTTTGGGTCTGCTCCAACTTGATGGCACATAACAACAACAACAACAACAAAGTGTTTCTTCTGAAGAACAGCCACTCCAGGTTTCTGTGGAGTCTGAGATGAGCCTGGCAGCTTCAGATTCAGGCCAGAAGAGGGGAAGAAAGGGCCACAGAGGACAGAAAGTCATATTTCCTCAAAAAGAAGAGTGGAAATGTCTCCCATCTTCTTGCGATGAACATCCCAAGGGACATAGGCAATACTCCAGACCATATTGGGGCAGTGGGCCCAGAGAGGTACAGCGACCTGCCCCTGAACATACGTGGCACAGCTCACGTAAGCACCTTTCTCTTCAAATCCCTGACCAGGACTCTGCATTGTGCTTGCAGCCTACTCAGTAAATGCTTTGAATAAGCTTTCTCACGGTCTGTGGGACAGGGAAGATACCCCTATCTTCTGATGTACTTCAAGAGTGTCTTGATGGTAGCTGCCCAGGCAGGGCTCACAGCCCGAGACTACAGTTTGATGATCTACTCAGGTAGATCCACTCCACTCGTGACATACCATAAAATCCTAGACTAGATGCCCTTCCAGGAGAGCAGAGATGTCTTCCTAATCCAAACAATTAATTTTCATTACTAAGCAGCATTCTCACAGAAAGGGCAAAGGGCACTCCTAGCTTTCACCCTCTAATCTCAGGAGACAGCCTGCTGCCTCCTGCTGTTTGAGGTCTTCTGGAGGGAAAGCCAACTTTATACCTCTTTCAGCCCTCGCAGCAGGCTGAGTGGTGACAGCCGCTGGAAAGAACAGTCAGGGCGAGTCTCCGGATGCTATTATCTATATAGAAGATAGAGCATGTCCTCAGTTATGAAAATATTCAGTTGACCCAAGGGCCACACTCTTTCTACCTCTCCCTTCCCTCATAGGAGGAAAGATGTGGAGAGAGATGGAATGAATTTGGTTTCCTGAGACAATGGTAAGGAATCTGGACAGCTAAGGAGACAGAGCTTTATAATTGAAGTAGAAGGTGGTAGCTGCTGAAATGCATCAGAAACAAGAGTTATACTTTCTTGGTTAACTGCCTCAGATCATTCAAGCTGCAGAGATTTCTCAAGTCTGGTTGGAAAACAAGTGAAGGTCTTTTGATTTAAAGCAATTTTGGACTCTGGAGCCAAATAGATCCCACCTCTGTACCTAAAATAACTCAGCACACAGGCCTACAATCTCCTGTCCTAGATGGCAGCACAGCAGGGCTGGTGGGATTCCACCTCATCTTACAAACCATCACTTACTGCATGTCCAGCAGTGGGTTCAGCACGTGGGGACAGCTTCCCTACCACTGAAGCTTTCTGCAGGGAAAATCTGCTGCTTTTTCTACTGTAAATCAGTACTCTACTCTTTCCCAGGTCCCTGAAGGGGAGCTTGGCTGAGTTATAAAGGAGGAGCACAGCAGGCTCCTGTAGGACTCTGTGCTCACCTTCCATGATGGAGATGTGGACGGCTCTTCTGCGGGTCCGGGGCACACTGCTCAGCCTTGGGCCGTGGGTTATGGAAGGGCAGCTCTGACTTGGAACCATCCCTGCTCTGAGGTTAAAGACAAAAAAAGATTCCTGTTAACTCAGTGTACAGATGAATGTAGGGGTTAAGATTTGAATCCTAGTCACTTGGATGGTTGGGCTGAGTTTTAGCCTTTTTTTTTTAAAATGTAATACTGTCTTTTCGTTTTATGATCTTTGCATCCCAGTCAGTGACAATGCCTCAAAATGATTCCTCTCCTTGCCTCTCAGACCCCTCTGAACACTCTTTCAATGCTCCTGGTCTCTGTGGGCAGGACTGTCAGGACATAGAGTCCCCTGTAGAGCAGAATCCTGAAAATGTGCCTCAGCACCAGCACTGGCAGGGACTCTAGGAAGGAACGCTCCCAATTCTAGTAGTGAAGGCAGCGGAAGAATCCTAGTCTTGGCTCGTTAGAGTCAGAAATTTGCCAAGTTCTGGGAGATGGGCTTCCGGAAATGCATGGTTGGTACAGGAAGCACAGATCCCAAAATGACTGTAGATCCAATGTGACAGGATTGTGGGCCTATCCCTGGCTTCCTGTAATGGACTCATTCCAGAACCAATGAAATGTTGCTGCTTAGACTTGAGGATGTGGACAAATCTTCCATGGTTTATAATCAGTGGCAGGACTTGGAAGGACCCTGAAAAATGACACCTGTAAACAATCTTCCGCATTCTCCATCAAGCCTTAAGGTTACCGGGGTCAAAACCTGCTTGATCTAGTAGTACAGTTGGTAGGGAGTTGTACTGCCCACCCAAAGGCAGCACCTCTCTTTAGCAGTGCAGATCCACCAGCGGCTCCTTGGGGTAAGAAAGGCAATGTCTTCCCTTGTGATTTACAGCCTCCCAGAACCTCAGCGGAGGGCCGGCTATGACTTGGCTCCAACTCCATGGCAATGGGTTTTGAGGTGAGTCCAATTGAAATGGGCTCTTCACTATCCTGCCTTGTTCCTTCCCTCCTGGCAGCTACTGCTGGAGCCACTGTCTATGCGGTATTTAAAATCTCGAGATCTGGGATCTGGGCTGGAACTGGTTTTGGGGGCACCCTTGGAAACGTACCTGTGTATTTCTGGTGGCTCCCGTTTGATTTTGGCACTAGATTCCATTACTTCTTTTGCAACTCGGCCACTATAAGTAGTATAATAAAACCAAATATCAAGAAATGAGACAGTGCTCTGGGCAAGGATCCTCTCCAAGATCTCAGGCGGCTTGGCTGTACGGGGAGATGGTTTCTCTGGCCTTCCCCTTCCCTAATATCCCAGTCCCTGAGAAAGGTGTGCTTATTGGGCTACAAAGTCCTAAAATATCCCGAAAACCTATATTAGAGGACTCTCTTTATCTCTGAAATCTTTGGGATATTCTTGGGAATGATTGCTAATAATCCAGAAAGTTCTAATGACATTGGGGGGGGGAAATCTTTAGACAATAAGACATGGAAAGAAGCACTGTGATGATTCTGATAAGGAAAAAAGGAAAGGAGAGAAAATGTAAAACTCCACAAGCAACTGCGGGGAAGGAAGAAATAACAAGAGGGTTAGGAGACAGGAGAATTGCATCAAAACCCCAGGCTTTTCTGGGAATTCTCATTTCTCTGTTCTCAAGATCAAGGGCTACGGAGCAACTGTTCTCCAGGGAAGGGACTGAAAATAGATCCATAATGGTTACTTACTGTCACTATTTACCTGTATCGGAACCGGCTCCCTTTAAAGAACAGATTGCTGCTCGACACAGTACGTACTTGGCTTGACTTCTCCAGCCTGTGGCAAGGCAGAGTTCAGTGTGACAGGGGGCCAGGCGCTGCCCCTCACAGGCTAGGCCAGTGCATCCCAGCTCCTCCCATTCTAGTGAGGAAAACTCCTTCCTGGGCCCATCTGCATCTCTGACCCTCCTTTAGGACCAGCAGGCTGTGCTGACTGCCAGTGGCCCTCCTGCCTCTGTGTCAAGGGACAGCCATAGTGAAACCCCTTGAAATGCCAGGTGAGCAGAGGCATCACAAGACTGAGTCATGGGGCCACTGTGGGGGGGCGCTGAGTAAATGAACATTAGTGATGATGGTCTGAGAGACTTGTAGAGTGACACAGCTAGTCTTAGGTCACATATTAGCCGTGTGAACAGAGGCAGGTTTCTTTATATCCTTTAGCTTTAGTTTTATCTATAAAGTGATAGAGCTGGACTTGAGCTCAATGCTGGCGTTTGAAGGCCATGTTAGAACCTGGGATGGAAGGAATAGACTGTTCTATCTCCTCCATCTCCTTACTACAATGTCTTTAAGGCTATTACTCTGAAAACTTGCTGGAGGGTCAGCTTTGGATTGGTTCCAACTCAGCGGCACATAACAACAACAACGACAACAAAAAGCGTTAGGGAGTTATGGTTGTTTAGTGATAAGAAGTTTCACTGCCAACCCAAAGGCATTTGGTTCAAATCCACCAGCTGCTTTATAGGATAAAGATGAAGAGTCACCAGAACAGGAACAGCAAAGGCTATTAGCAAACTAATGACTCTAAGAAGTCCTTCAATGAAGAACTACCTTAAGTTTTTAAAAAGTCTCATAATTTATTTGCACTTGGAACCTTCTTCCTTCTGGAGAATACCATCTTGAAATAAAAACCTGAACATATTATTGTGCATTAGGTGAAAATTTACACAGCAAATTAGTTTTAACTTAGTGGTTCATAGAGAGATCCGCTGACATCTCCACAGGTCAGCACTGTTCTCATTCCCACCCCGTCTTCACTGTTTCCGTCTGCCCGGTTTCCCTGCCCTTCTTTATCCTCTCATCTTTGTATTTGGGGCAAATAGTCCCTTTCAGTTCTGTATAGATGGCTTTTCTAAAGAGCACATTCCTCGTGGGTATTATTGTTTCTTTTCTAGGCTAGTCTATTATTAGGGAGCTGCGGTGGCCCATCATGCTGGGAAGGGTGGGGGTCGAGGAGGAGAGAAAGGCCCTCGATGGACGGACACAGTGACCGTAACAGTGGGCTTGAGCGTGTCACCTGGTGAGGGTGGCACAGGACAGGGCGAGGTTCAGACCTGTTCACAGGGTTGCTGAGTTGTAGTAGATTTGATGACACCTAACAATGACAACAACTGGTGGCCCAGTAGGTAAGGAGCGGGGCTGTTGGCCCAAAGGCAGCTGCTCTGAAGGAGAAAGATGGGCAATTCATAGCCCCTGAAAACCTGCTGGAGGGGCGTTGATGACACATAACAACAACGGTCTATTATTTAGTTGAAAGGTGGGCTCTGGGGATGGCTGCAGTTTCACAGGAGAGGGTGACTTAGGACAGTGGTCTCGGAGGTTCCTCCAGTCTTTAGCAGACTTCTGAGTCTGGTCTTCTTTTAAGAATTTGAATTTTGGTTCATTTTTCTACCACTCTCACAGGAACTTACTATTCTGCCCCAGGTTAGGAAGCTTGGTCAGAGTTTGCCACACCACAGTCCTAATCCAGCCAGGAATGAAAGCCTTTGGCAGGAGTGGGCAGTATTTAGGATGTATCCCACAATTCATGGACACAGCTCTCTGGAGACAGCCCGACCAGGCTCCTGGCTCTGTGAGGCTCTGAGCCAGCTCCTCTTCCTGTCTGAGCACATTCCTGAGTCGGACCCTCCTCCCTTCAAGGCCTTAGGCCGAGGGCAGGGCCAGGGACCTGCATATGAGGGAAGCTGAGTGAGGCCAACAAGGCTGCTTCTGGGCACTTTGCTAAAGTAGGGGTCTGACTCAGAAGAGGCTTTGATACTCAGAATGTTGAGTGTTAAGTTACCAACTGAAAACAGTAGAAAATGACCCCAGTTTCTAGTGGGGGTCCTGGCAGGAGTGATGAGGTGTGGGGACACAATGCAAGCTGAGCTTGATCACAGATTCAGAAGCATAACTCTGTTTTCATTATTCACATGGGAAAACTAAAGCCTTGAGAAATGGTGTTAGAGGCTCACAGGAGAGGACACAGGAGACAGAGGGGCTGGGTCCATTTTTGTTAGCCCTGTGCACCTGGGCAGTGGCAGCTCTGTGCTCGCACCTCCCTGCCTTCCTCTCTGCTGGGCAGTTCCAGGGGACCCTCTTCTTACTGGACTGTTCTCTAATCCTGTAAGTGAGAAGGTTTCTGTTTTAAGTTGCTTTCTCTCCAAGTTCCTGTAACCAGCTAAACCTGGGCTCTGTCCTTACAGGCAAAGGGAAGATGTTCCAACAAAAACCATTTTTTTTTGTCCCTCTCTGGACAGGACTGAGAGACGTAGAAATTGGACTGTGTCAAAGTTTTTTCCTAAGTTCTCCTGAAGGAGAAGAAAGAAAACTGCTCAGGTTAGTATTCAGGCTATCTATTCTGTCCATTCTTGATTCTGGTATCAGTTCCATTAAGACTATAAAGTAGTGCAGAAAGTCTTTCCCCAAAATGACTGCTGAAGCCGGGTCTTGCACCTAGGGGAGAACAGCTGTGCTGACCAGCGCCCCTAAGCAGCCAGCAGGCAGCAGTCTGTGTGCTGGGGAGGGTGTGGTGTCCACACAGTTCAGAGCAGTTCTGCTCTCTAGGACCCCCCAGAGTGGAAGCTGGGGCTGGCAGAGAATCACAAAATTTGCCTTGTTTCTTGATTAAAATATAGCTTGTTAAAGCATAAACCATTCTGTTTTAATTAAGACTAAAAAGTTTAGCGAAACATACTTTGCCTGGCATTATTAGCCCGGTTTCTCAAGGAGTCACTTTTTTTTTGGCTCCATAATGTTTTTATAATACTGTTCAAGGAAATGGAATATAAAAGCTATGAATAAAATAAATAAAAGAATATAAAAATCAAAAGCTAAATTCATGGTCATCAAGCTGATTCTAACTCACAGTGGAAGACATGTGTACTTTACAAAGTCCTTTGGTACCCAGAGTTCTTGCTTTTGGCTCGATCTTGTTTTCTTCATAACAGTCATGTGCTCACCCCTTCCCCAGGTTCCTGTGTACTTGGCCTGTAGCTGATAATCAAGCTGGCACTGATGCATGGAGGTGAAGAGGGTGGAGAGCCTTGGCTTCAATCCCAGATCAGTACCAGGTCACCCACTGGGAAGCTGGCAGGTCCCAGAGTTTCTCCAGGCCTTTCCAGGGCTGGCCCTGGTGCTCCAAATACTCCTCTGGGTTTTACCTGGTCTTTTATGGAGCTGGTACCTTCCAGAAAGCCCAGGGCTCTTAATGGCTCTAATAGAGGTGACCTGTTTATATTAAGCACCTATAGGTTTCTTTGATCCATGCCATACCCACTGGAGGCTGTCAAAAGACATCCCAAGGCAAAACCCTTTGAGCAATTCACTGTAACACATTTGCTGGGCATGGCAAGACTTCCAGAAAGGGATCTGAATTTTAGAAGGAAGTCCAGCCCTGGCATCTCGTTTCTCATTCAGGATATCAGTTTGCTGTCTATCATTCCTCTAACAGTAGCCTTTTGGAACTTGAGTTCTAAGGAAGACTAACCCTGTTGCATGAGGCCACTTACTTGTAGAAAGCTTGGTTCTCAATCCCACATTTCCAGAGGTGCTTGCAGGCTTCTGGAGTTGGAGCAAAATACGTGAGAATAATTTTCTTTTCCTATAAAAAAATTCACGTAGCTGAATATTGATGGAGAAGTACGGGTGAAGTGGGCCAGGGCACTAGAACATGAACTGTAAAGGGGTCCCTAAAAGACAGTGAGAGGCCCCAGATGGGGAGGGGGCTGCCTAGTAGCCGGTGAGCTGCAGGATCTACTGAGGGGGCGCTCAGCCACACATAAACTCACAGGTAGCAAGACATTTTATTTGATACAAATTGAACGCTTGCTGAGAAAGTGGCACTTCCATCTGGAATTTTTGGATGATGTCAGACTAACTTTGACTGCATTTCCTGGAGGTAGGGATCTCTTGGAAGGAACTTTGGTATGTCACCAGCTTCTCGTGCTGCGAGCCCAGATACCCCTCCATACTTCACCTTCAGGTCTTGATCTTCATCTTAGGTATAACACGCAGGCTCTGCCTGAACCCCCCACATGTGACCTTGGTCATGAGGAACCACCACCCCAGGGCCCCAGCCCTCCCTAAAGAGAAGGAAACTGTTACTCACCTCTTTCTGGCTTACGTGCAAATAGAAAGTTTTTCCTTCAAATTTCAGCTTGGTCACCTCATTCCTAGAAGCACAAAGAGAGTGCCTGTCACCTTGTTGGTTGCTTGTCCACAGCTAAGTCTCATAGATGCACACCCACCCAGACTGGAGGGAGCTCCAGGCACAGACACAAGTTTAGCCAAGATCAGAACTCAAACAAGACAGCAGTGCAGTGGCCTTAGAGAACAGTTGTTGGAACAGTTCAATCCATAGTTTTCTGGTCAATCACAATGTAATAAAAGGGTGATAGGATTTCGGGCCCATCAATAGTGGCTGCAAAAGGGCAACATCTACATGGGAACTGAGTAGAGTATGAGGTAGAGTATCCGAGGTCATTTCAGGGTTTGGTTCATAACACAGGTGCATTATCTGGATGGGACGTCAAATGTAAGATGCCACAGGTAGCTGATGAGGCCATAGTTCAAGATACAGCAAATAATGGAAAACAATGCAACCAGGTTCTGTGGGAGTTGTCTTTCAGGTGACTGTGCCACTGGATGGAAAATGCAGTTTAATGCAGACAAATGTCAAACAGTCTCAGGAAAAGGGCAGGGCAACATACCAAAGAGAGAGAACAGATTACATGGAATAGTCATGCAGCGTACTGACCAGGAAAGGGGCTTAGGGGGTTTTGTAGAAAAATCCTTGAAGCCACCAGCCCAGTGAATGGCTGCAGTAAAAGAGGCAAACAGGAACTGGGGTACGCCACCCGTGGGACAGACACAAATCAGAAGAAGTGACATGGTTACTGTACATGGCACGGCTTAGACCTCATCTCCACATGCTGCTCTCAGCTTTGGTTATATTTACAAAATGGAGAAATTCCCAGGGTCTTAAGTGGATGTCCTTGAGAGCCAGAGACCTAGGTCTCAGTATTGGTCACACCTCACTTCCCTTCCTTCTGCCCACCGGGGCTGTGCCTTCTGGAGCCTCAACGCCTTTTCCATCTCACTAGGTGTGAAGTCTTTGTTTTTCTATCTATCTGGGACCCTGAAGGAGTCTAATCCTGCACGCTTGCTTCCATTTGTCTTCTTTGTTGTTTCTAAGGAGATTTGTTCAGTATCCTAAGAAGTATCAGAAAGGTAGTAAGAGCCATGTACCCAATCTAATGGTGGACAGGATTTGGGATAGAGGCAAATTACTTGCTTTCTGTGGCCTGCAAATCATAGCTGGGTCGGGATGAGCTTTCATAACTTCTGACAACCTTTTCTGACCTAATACAGCCTCACAGTATTGCTTTCTTGGCTGGTTCCCTTTCAATCAATCAATCTCTCATATACACACAGGATACAAATTGACATAAATTGATTAATATATGGACAAACACACAGATCATCTAGGCTCTAACAAGCAAGACAGGAAAGTAAGGAGGTTTGGTTTGCTTTGCAAGTGAGATTAGGTTCACATTGATTATTAGAAAGTTGAGATAGTGAAGAGAAATGAGAGCTCAGAGAAGGCATAGCACGAACAGCCCTGGCAGAACTGGAGGGTGTCACGCCTTCTGGATGAGCAGGGATAATTTCGGGACTTCTGGCTCCTGTAACAGTTATTTCCTACTTGTTTCCCTGTAAATGTACTTCCTATCAGCATGGACCTCTTAAAGAGTGTGGCCCAGGACCTGGTCCTCTATGGCACATCAGATAACCACATCTACTCAAAAAGCAAGGCTCCTCAGCAGAAGTTATGACTTGCACTTCTTTTCTTTCTTTCTTAATGGAAAATATTTTGTTGGTTGAGATCCCCAACCCCTCAGTACCTTTACCTGGAGAGAGCAGTGAAGAGGGCCAATTTGAGAAACCTTGGAAGATGCGTACTCTGAGTGCTCACTGGGAACTCCAGAGCACCAGGCTGCCTGCTTTCCTGGGGAACAGGGCCTGGCCATGCATGTCTGAGGAACAGTTTTCCCAGCATTCTGGTTGATCATCTTCTTCACAAGATCAATAAGGGCTGGAAAAGTGGTGTCTACTCACAGGCTTATTTACTTAATTCTGTTCTCTGTAGAGAACAGAAGCCCTGAAACACCACCAGCAGAAAGCTCACAGGACATGACTTTGTGCTCAGATACCCCTTTAGCTTTTCTAGAGAAGGCAAAAGAACCACACGAAGGAGCAGCAGCCACTTGTCTACGCTTACAGGAGCAGCTGGGCAGCTCAGACGCGGCAGCCCGAGGCCCAAGAAGGTACAGAAATCACTGGAGCCTAACAGAATTTGCAAATTTTCTGATGATGTTGAAGGATGTTTATGTAGGCCAGCAAAAGTCTCCAGGAAAGCTACATGTCAATCAACAAATTAGAGTATGCTATATCAGCTCCCAGGAGCTACACAGCAGAACAGACTCCCCCAAAGACCAAAGCTGAACAGAAGCCGTCCAGAGTAGCTAAAGCCAGGCAGTGGTTCTTGACTGCTAGAAATGAGAGCAGGAGAGGAGAGGGTGGGGAGAAAGAAGAGGCAGGGATGTGACTCTGAGGGACTAAGGACACTTAGGCTCTAATGAGGGACACGAGGAACGTAGAGGAGACAGCAGCGTCTGAACTCCTGCAGAGGACATCTATGCAGTGGGCGCTGGTTTGAGGAGGACTAACAAAAGGATTTATATCTACAACAAAGGTCATTGTCTGTGAGTCCCCCAAGGTTAGGCACACGTGTTGGGCACAGAGATGCCCCAGAACAGCCAGCTCAATAGGCTTGGCTGTGGCTCTCAGTGAGTGACAATCTCAAAGGCTTAGTTCTTATGGGAATGTTGCTTTCCTAAAAATGATCCAGCTCCAGGTCTCTTTCCTATCCTGCAATCAAGACTCTATTGGACCCTTTCTTTCTTTGGAGAGGCTGTTGGCTCTCAGGAACACCCTGGGGAAAACGGATCCACTGACAGAGACCACTACCACTAGCAATTACCATCATCAATGCAAGGCTTTGGAGAGGGCTTGAACCCTACCTTCCCAATCACAGACATTAGGCATTTTGGGACCGAGGCCCCTCCCCAGTGGGTATGGCGTAAAGAGCCTATTTTGGAAATGAAGGCACTCACCACTTAATGAAGTGGACTCTCTTATTTCCTTGCAGAACAACAAATCCAAAAGGGGTGAAGGCAAGAAACGCAGCATTTCCTGACACATCCTGCAACACAGAAAGATTTCTCTTCAGGGTGGTGCAAATGTGGAAGGAAGAGGGTGAGAAATGGTTGTTCAGCTGTCGCGGGACTCAAGGGTTAAATACTTGATGGGATGTAATAGAGGGAAGAGTGTGGTATTAGGAAGATCACGGCATGAGGATGAGCCCTGCCACCTGCCAGCTGTGTGCCTACAGACAAGTTACTTACCTTCCCTGAGCCTGAGCCTGTAAGTTGGACATTACAGTCTTACCAAGCTTGGAATTTTGAACTGAACATCAAAAGAGAATGGCAGTATGAGTATCCACGGTGGCGGAGGGCGGAAGTAGAGGAGGGAGGATGGGGGAGGGTGTTAATCATTGGGCTGCACAATTCAATGGGTGTGTGGGGTGCAGGAAATGGGAAGGATCTTTTGTGAAAAACAATGTATTCAAACTTTGTAAACAAATCAGAGTAAAATTTAAAAAAAGTTCAAAAAAAGTGAATGGCAATTCTTCATACATCGTTGGTTGGCTATAAAATGGTGCAGGTGCCTTTGAAAGCAGTTGGGTAGTTTCCTAGGGTGTTAAACATAGAGTTACTATATGACCCGGCAGTCCCATCCTACCTACATACCCAGAAGAAGTGAACACTTAAGTCCTCACAGACACTTGTACACAAATGCTCATAGCAACACTGCTAATAATAGTAAAAAAGTAGAAATAACCCAGTGGTGAATCAACTGATGAGTGGATAAACATAGTACAGTCACACAATGGAGTATTATTTAACAACAAAAAGGAATGAAATTATTGATAGATAATACAATAGGTGAATCTTAAAAACATTTTGCTAAGTGAAAGAAGCCAGTTTTAAAAAATCTCATGTTGTTTGATTACATTTTTATGAAATTTCAAGAACAGACAAGTCCACAGAGATAAAAAAAAAAAAGTAGATCAGTGGTTTCTAGAGGCTGGATGGAAATAGAAATGGGAAACAATTACTGTATACAGGGTTGGGTTTTTTTTGGGTGAGATGAAAATTATCTAAAATTATTGATTATTGATGCTACACAATTCTGAATATCCTAAAAATTGCTGAGTTTTGCCATTGACGTAGGTAAATTTTATGTTATGTGAGCTATAGCTCTACGTCATCTGAAAAAATAGAGGAGAGAGAAAAGCTGACAGTTATTATCAAGACAGCCCTAGGGCCTGGACTCACAGCCCTAGGGCCTGGACTCACAAAAACATTTAGCGGAGAGACAGTAAGAAGCAAGTGGCCATGTGGGCACAGTCCTCACCAGTCTAGGGGTGCCTGAGCCCCAGAGGGGATGGACAGTTAGTCCCCCATCACCACTAGCTTGTAAACGCCAAGCTGGGGCTCTGCTGAGCAAAGGGAGGAGAAGGTGAAGGGCATGATTCCCCACGTGGGGAACCTGAGGAAAAGGTGTTCCTCACGCCCAGCCCGAAAGCTCAGTTTATGGGCTATGCTCTCTGAGGGGCTCCCATGGTGACAGGGACATCAAGTGAGAGTCTGCACTTCCATGGAAAGTCATGGAGCGGGTAGGAGTGTGTTGAGGCAGCTAAAAAACTGTCGGGAAATTGGTGAAACGTCTGTGGAGGCCAGTTGTCTGGGCATGCTCAGTGGATGCATGGCATCAGGGTCAGGCACCTGACGCAGGATGTGAGGGGGCATCTAGGGCTTGGTTCTCGCGATCCCACCCTCCTTTAGAGTTTGCCTCCTGCACGTTCTGTGGCCTGACTGGTCCCAGGAGCAGCAAAGTCTCTGCATGTCTCACGAACTTTGGATGCAGTTTTACCTGAAAATGCCTCTTAAAGCCTGTAGTGAGCATTTGGGCCTAAGGGAAAAACCTGTATGTGTTGCAAACAATTTCAGTTAATATATTGCTATTATTGTACTTTGCTTTACATCTGTGGGAACCCAGACACTCGGCTGTAAGCCTGATGCCATTCAGCCCAGGGGTATGGCAAAAACTGTTAAAAATAGTCCGAGTGGAGACGCTGCAGAGCCACAGGGCTGGATTTCCTCCTGTCTGTCATCAGTGCTTGGGGTGGTTATTAATATCTGAGCACCAGGCATTGCACACAAACATCATTCCTGCCAGGAAGTACAGAGCTGAAGTGGCCGACTTGGCAGAGACACAGGGCAGAGTTGTCCGAGGAGATGGTGAGGGAAGGCTCTGCTGTCATGGAGGCGGCCAGCCTCAGATGGGAGCTGGGCCCCCGGAGGTCAACACTGCCTGTGTGGGCAGGCCCCAAGGAGATGCCAGGTCACTGGATATTGGTCAGATGCCCTCACAGAACAACTGTCCGAGCAAGCTCAGGTGGGTGAATAGAGTCAGGTTGAGAAGGGCAGAGCCGATTTGTGTTGGCACAGAACATGTCAGTGGGAAATGCTTATCAGATGAATATTTACAGTGAGGTGAGTCAAAGGGAGTGGTCTGTCAGCAGTGGGACAGAGACATGTGAGCAAAGAGGGGGGAAGGCCCAAGGTGGGCAGAGGCGGAAAGGCATCTTACTGTGCCCTGAGCCTACGGAAAGGATGGACAGACATGAAGTGTCAGGTCATGATGTAATGGGGAAAGAAATGTGGAGGAGAGGTGGAGGGAAAGGCAGGAAAGAGCCTCCTTCTGCTTTTTTGTATGCCTGACTCATGGAGGTGCTCACATAGGAGCCCAGCACTTGTGCCATCATCCCAGGGCAAAGGGCTCTGGGGTCAGACACTCAGATCTGGGTCCTGGCTCTGCTGCCTGCTTTGTGCCACCGTGGCCAGGCCCCTTCATTATTCTGTGCCTCAGACTCCTCATGGTAAAGCTGGGGCAAGAGAATACCTATTATCCACAGTAGGCACTCAGTGCATTTTAATGGCTATGTGTTCTACATGTGCAAGTTGATTCCAACTCACAGTGACCCGACAGCATACGGAACAACCTTTTAGGGTTTCCTGGATTTAATTTTTACTGGAGCTGATCGCCAGGTCTTTTTTCTTCCTTGCAGTTACTAGTGGTTTAAACTATTAACTTTGATTAGCCATTAAGGAACTCTGGTGGGGTAGTCTGAAAAGAGGTGTGCTATTAACTCATTTCTCTGGTGATTAGAATCCACCAATGGCATCAAGGGAAACAGATAGGCAATCTCCTTCTGTGTGATTTACTGCCATCAAGTTGATTCCAACTCATGCGGAGCCTGGAGGATAGAGTGGAACTGCTCTTTAGGGTTTCTGAGGCTGTAATCCTTACAAAAGTAGTTTGCTTTATCTTTCTCCCATGGTGGGCTTGAATGGCAAACCTTTCAGATAGCAGCCAAATGTCTTAGCCACAGCACCAGCAGAGCTCCTTAATATCATTATTGCTGTTGTTCTGCGCTGTTGAGTTGACCACAGATCATAGTGACCTAAGGAACAACAGATCTGAACCCTGCCCTATCCTGTGCCCTCCTCCTCATCTCTGACATTCATCGTTACAGTCACTGTCAAATCTATCTTGTTGAGGGTCTTCCTCTGTTATGCTGACCCTCCACCTTTCCATGCATGATGTCTTTTTCTAAGAAGTGGAGTGTATCAGGGATATGTCCTGTCTGCATATATTTTCAATCTATATGCAGAACAAATCATTGGAGAGACTGGACTTTATGGGGAGGAATGTGGCATCAGTATTGGAGACCCATCAACAACCTGTATTATGCAGATGACATAACCTTACTTGCTGAAACTGAGCAGGGTTTGAAGCATTTGCTGCAGAGGGTCAAGGGCTGTAGTCTGCAATATGGATTGAAGCTCAACATCAAGAAAATGAAAATTTTCACCACTGGGCCAGATGGCAGCATCATGGTAGATGGAGAAAGGACTGAGATTAACAATTTCAGCTTGCTTGGTTCCACAATCAACATTCTATGCACAAGCAGTCAGGAAATGAAAAGACAAATTTCATTAGGATAATCTGCTGTCAAGGACTTCTCCAGAGCACTGAAGAGCAAGGATGTCAGTCTAGAGACTAAGGTGTGCCTGATCCAGGCCACAATCTTTGCAATTATTAGTTATGCATCAGAGAGCCGGACAATGAATAAGGATGACAAGAAGAATTGACACCTTTGTATTGTGGTGCTGGAGAATATTTTTGAAAATACCATAGACTCCTAAGAGAACAAATAGTTCTGTTCTGGAGAGGGTGAAACCAAGCTGCTCACTGGAGGCAAGGATTTTGAGGCTCTGTCTCACATATTCCGGACATGTAGCCAATAGGGACCAGTCTTTGGAGAAGATTATCATGCTTGGAAGGGGGGAGGAACAGTACAGGAGAGGAAAACCGTAGATGAGATCTAGTGACACAATAACCGGGGTAATAAGGATAGGTGTATCAGAGACAGTGAGACTGGACCAGGATAGAGCAGGGTTCAGAGATATTGGGATAGGGTCACTATGAGTTGTAGTTGACTCAGGGCACATAACAGCAAGAAGTCCCTCCTAACAACATACCCAAAGTATGTGAGATGAAGTTTCACCTTCTTTGCTTGCACCCTTGCCTGCCCCCTGTTTCTCCAAGACCTAAGTTTGCTTCTTTGGCATTCCTGGGGATATCCAGTACTCTTCTCTAACATCTGAACTCAAAGACAATGATTCTTGACACAGTAATTGAAAAGCCCATGGCCACACCCATGTTTATAGCAGCTCTGTTCACAATAGCAAGGAGTTGGAAACAACCCAGGTGCTCATCAACAACCAAACTGATAGAGAAGCTGTGGTATATTCACACAATGGAATACTACGCTGCATTGAAAAACAAGGAACTCATGCAATATTATTCAAAATGGGTGAGCCTGGAGGACATTATGCTGAGTGAAATATCTCAGTCGCAAAAGGAAAAATATTGCACGGTGCCACTGTTGTAAAATGGGACTGATATCAGAGTTGGGGTAAGGCTGAGAAAAACTGGATAAATTGTGTATACTACACTGAAACAGATGAGGGAAAGAATAATTTAAAAGCGATGTATGATAGTGTATTATGG